GCAGCCAGACAGATTTTTATCCTGAATACCAGGTAGGCCTTCCATCTTCTTTTTCATTAAGGCAGCTGAGCTTCCCCTGCCTTTTTTATCTTGCAAAGGGAGGCAGGCAGGGGAGGGAAGAAAAGAAATAAGCCAAGAAGCCCTCCTTGCAGTGACAGGCAGGAAAATTGGTTTGCCTTTTCTGCTGCACACAAAAGCGAAATGTCCCGTAGATCCCGCCGCCTGAGAAAGTGAGTCCCCACAGCCCCAGAGGACAGCCTCTGGTGGCCAGAGGGAGGGGCCTGGGACTGGAGACCGGTGCTGGGTGGAAAAGGTGAAGGGATGAAGAAGTACACATCAGTGGCTGCACAATAGTCAAGTACAGCGGAGGGAATATAGGCAAAAATATTGCAATAATGTATGGTGCCGGGTGGGTACTAGAATGTTGGGGGGGATCACTGTGTCAGGTGTCTGGTTGTCTGACCATGATGCTGTACACCTGAAGCGAATACACAATCATAGTGAATGTCAACTGTAATTGAAAAGATAAACACCAATTTTTTAAGTGACCTTATAGGCTGTTCCTTGACAAAGCCATAAGCCATTCAGAGAGAAAGGTGAACCCCATCGGTGTGAAGGGGGCTCCCCTTCCTGCCTGCCTTCTCTTTCCTCATCAAGATCCTTCTCCCTCACAGAGCAGCCCATCTCCTCCAGCAACAGTCACCCAGGCGTGCCCCCCGCCCCACCCCCTGGGCCCCTTCTCCTTCCACCCGGACGCTCAGTAGATGCCATCCCTTGGCCCTGGCTCTCACCCCTGCAGACCCCTCTGAGCCCAGCCTGTCCTTCCTAAGGGCAAGGCCTCATATCAAAGGGGTGGGGCTTCTGCAGACTCCCTTTGTGGTCAAAACGGTGGTAGTCACACTAATAGCCATTATGTATTGATCACTCTCTGTTTACACGTCACAGTGCTCAGTATTTGAGGAGCACGGTTTCATCTGAGCCTCACGACGTTAGGCCCTGCGTGTGATCACCATCACCACTTTACAAATGAGGAAAGCGAGTCTTAAAATGGGATTCCTCAAGCCAGCCAGTTCCTACAGTCAGCGGGCAGGCAGGGCCCTGCCGGCAGCCTGGGAACCGGCCGCCAGATGCAGGGCCTTTGCAAGATTCTGATGGAGAAGTCAAGCCAAATTATTTAGGCTCATTCTGTAGACAATTAAGGGCTGCTTAGTGGCCGTCGTGTAATTGCATCATTTAAGGGGAACTACCATTTGGTTTTCATAAACGAAAATGAGCTCATGGCTAGAGTTTATCGCATAGGCTGATCCAATATTTCACTGAGATGTAGGTGGCGTGGCGAGGCTGTATCGGTTCCACGGTCGCCAGGCATGGGCAGAGCTTAAAGACCCATAGTTTTCACAACTCTTAGGGATGTCTCAGGTGTCACTGCCTTTGTCTTGAATTTACAATCAAGCCTATTGTTTTTTACTTGCTCTGAAGTGATATTTCAGCTCTTACTGATATTTCAGCTTTACCACTAGTTATATTATTGGTCGTGAGCTCGCCTCTAAACCCTATAGAGAGTGGTGAGGTATGTTGACATATTTTTCACCTGTTATTCTTTAAGAACTACACTGAAATGTCCTAAATTGCCTGTATTCAACCATTTTTACCTTAGGTTAAACCATATGAAACTGACTCCAGTCAACCATTTTTGACCTACAAAAAAATGACAGTTTCATGTGGTTCAAACTAATAGCTCAAATATAAATTCTTACCTCATTTGCTAGAAATTGTGTGTATAATACCCTCCAAATATGTAGGTACTGTACCACTTCACAGAACCTATGAACTGGTATTGTAAGTAATTCGTAACATATCCTATATAATAAAAAGGTAATATGCAAATTGACCATCATGCCCTCACAAAGATGGCTGCCTACAACCAGGCCGGCAGAAGGATTAGTGAGGGACGACCAAATGACTGAATAGCAGACTGTGTGGGGAGACCAGGCCAGCAGGGGGGCTATGAGGGGTGACCAGGCTGGCATGGGGGGGCAATTGGGGGTGACCAGGCCAGCAGGGGAAACAGTAAGAGGTGACCAGGCCGGGGGCGGGGGGGGGGGGGGTTAGGGGCAACCAGGCCAGCTGGGGGGGGGGGGGGTGATAAGGAAAGGAGGCGCAGTTGGGTGTGATTAGGCCAGCATGCAGAGGCAGTGAGAGGTGATTAGGCCAGCAGGGGTGGGGGCAGTTAGGATAAGGTGACCAAACATCTTGCTTTTGGCGGGACAGTCCCGATTTTTAACAATTTGTCCCACGTCCCGCAGCGTTTTAAAATCGGGACTATTTTAAAACACCACGGGACGCGGGACAAATTGTTAAAAACTGGGACTGTCCTGCCAAAAGCGGGACGTCTGGTCACCTTAAGTTAGGAGCAATCAGGCAGACAGGCAGGCAGGTGGGTGATGAGGAACCAGCAGTCCAGGATTGTGATGGGGATGTCCGACTGTCATTTTAGGCCAGTTTAGGGGGATCGAGCCTAAAACGGCAGTCAGACATCCCCCAAGGGATCCCAGATTGGAGAAGGTGCAGCCTGGGCTGAGGACCTCCCTCCTTGCACATTTGTGCCCTGGGCCTTTACTTATTATCATCAGCCACTATAAGGAAATCGCTATTATTTTTAAGTTTGCAGCTATGTTTCTCTCCATGCTTCAACATCACCTGATTCCTTTGTCACTGTGAAGTGGGAATGGATAGGGGATTTTGTGCTCCCTAGACAGACACTGGTCAAAAAAAAACATGACAAGCACAGCTCTCAAGGCGAGGGAGGTTTTCCAAGCCCCACAACTAGTAAGTGTGGATTCAGGATTCAGATGGAAGTCAGCTTGCCTCGCTGACTGAGGAAATGATGCATATTTTCGTAAATGACGGCAGTTACACCTCTGTAGCCTCCTGAACAAACGAACGAAAACCCAATAACCCAGGCTTCCATGATATCCCTGTGGGGAAATTAGGTTACCAGCATTTACTGAGTGCCAGTCACTCTGCTTGGTATGTTAGGTAAACCTCATTGAATGCCACCTCAAGCCTTGGGAGGTTGGTGTCATCAATCCGTCCTGGTGGGAAACAAGTTCACAGGCTTGAGACTAACTCAGTGTTGCAGAACAGGTACTGAGCGCAGGAAGCAAACTTCAAAACCCATGTGAATGCTCATCACCTGCTTTTTCTTGTTCCTCTCCCCCCCTCGTCCCCCTATTTATTTTACCATCAAATCCTATTGGTCCTACCTGTACAATGCTCCCTGGAACCTGCTTCTCCACCATTTTCCCTGTTAACCTTTGAACACTGTCTCTCCCATGGACAAATGCAGCAGCCTCCTGAACTCCACCCTCTCTCCATCCCTACCCACCCCCCATATGGCCTCCAACTTGCTCCACAACTCTATGCATAGATCTGATCACAACCCACCTCTTCCATGGCCTTGCGGTGCTGGCGAGGTAGAAGGCATTTCCCAGTCCAGCCTTTCAGCTGTGGGGAGACACTACCGTTCCATGCTTCAACCACGGTGGGTCCCGCAAGCTGGGTCCGGGCCAGAAAGGACGTTGCTTCCCACAAACCTCCCTTAGAGGCTATCTGGTCGCAAACGATGTTCACTCTGATACATACCAGCACCGCTCCACTGCCTCCTGCTGTGTGCTGGCTCCTGGCACAGGTTGTTGTCCTGACCTGGCCGAGCATGTAATTTCCTGTACCTGGTAGAAACCTCATGTAGTCCCTGTGACTGTCCCCCTTTATCCCACATTCTTTTCTGGTGCCTGCCAAGTGGCACAAGGGTCTGTTTGGTCTTGCCGCCACCCAACACATGCCTCCTGTAAATTTCCCTTTAAGAAGTCTATTTGTCAAAACCGGTTTGGCTTGGTGGGTAGAGCATCAGCCTGCGCACTGGAAGGTCCCAGGTTCGATTCCGGTCAAGGGCATGTACCTTGGTTGCGGGCACATCCCCAGTAGGGAGTGTGCAGGAGGCAGCTGATCGAAGTTTCTCTCTCATCAATGTTTCTAACTCTCTATCCCTCTCTCTTCCTCTCTGTAAAAAAATCAATACAATATATTTTTTTTTTTTCAAAAAGGAAGTCTATTCATTACTAGCCAGTCTCTCTTCCGTCGTTCCCTCCTCTCTCCTGACAGATGTGGATTTTCAGATCCAGAAACTCTCCCTGGTCTGTGTGTGCTAGCACCCACCTACCTTCCATCTCGGCCAACACTCCCTGTCCCCAGCCCCCACTCCCCGGACCCCTCCAGCCCTTCTCATTTCCTCTAACACCCATGACCTTTCCAACCCAGCTCCTAAGCTTCCTTGCACTTGCTACTGAGGGCACCTGAAGAGACTATCTTTTTATTTTTTTTATTTTTATTTTTTTACTACCTACCATTTTCCACCTGGCAATTCTCCAAGGCCCAATTCAAAGGGCACTGCCTGTGGGAGAGCCAACCCAGACTCTCGCTGGCAGCTCATAGCTCCTCTGTGTCCACAGGACTTTGCACACATTTTTAATTAGACAGTTTCTGTTGAATGATAGAATGTTGAATGTTGTTGTTGAAATGTCTAATCTATCTCTCCCACTTGGTAATGAGCGCCTGGAGGATAAAGATCATGTTGTATTTTCTTTGGATTGCCAGCACTCAGAAAGCGCTTGGCACAAGGTCAGGACTCAATAAATATTCATTAATGTGCAAATACCCCCGTAGTCTCTGGTGCATATAGAGCATACTGAGAAGCTGCTCGGTACAACGGACTGAAACGGAACCGAGAGGAAGGATGACTGACTCAAGTCTGGGCTCGTCTACCAGCTGGCTGTGTCACCAGGGACAGCACTGATCTGGGACTCAGTCCCCTCACTTGTAAGGGGGGGGGGGGGCTGAGGAGGGGACATCTGAGTGTCCTTCCAGGGCTCACGTAGGATGATGTGAAGTGCTTGACAGCTCATCTCTAAAACTATCTTTTTTTTTTTTCTCACCCAAAGAAAAAGACATTGGAGGTCTTCAGAGGAGAGTCATGGCGCACACTCAGGAGCCTCTATCCCAGATGCCTGTCATCAAGTTCAAGGGCCAGGACTTTAAGACCCTGAGGGACCGTTGCCTAAGCAGAGGCCTCCTGTTTGAGGATGAGACCTTCCCTGCCGATATTTCTTCCATAGGCCCTTGGCTGCTCCAGGGAAAACACCTCTCCAGCCTGCGGTGGGAGCGCCCACAGGTGAGTGAGCCCCCCAGGCACACACCCAGTCCTGGGCCCTCTGAGCCAGCCCGCCATGGTCCCTCCTATGGCCCCTGTGGACCTCTGAGTTCTAATCCAGCTCTAACACCGCGCGCGTCCCTAGAGGACCTGCCTCGGTATTCTCACCTGGAAAATGAGGAGGCATAGGTGTGAAGAGTGTCTCTGAGCTCTCTTCTGTCTCCATAGTTGAGCCTGTCATCACTCTTTCTTCTCTTCCGGTATGACTGTCTTTCTCTTCTGTTCCTTTTTTTTTTTTTTCCTGTTAGAATTTACTCAGAGGGAAGCTACCATGTCAGTCACCTGTATAATAGGATGAATTTAAATAACTGACTCGCCTCTCTCCCTTTTATTTGTATTTCCAGTCTTGCAAAGAGGCCCGATCACCTACAAAAGAATTTCAGACATCCGCTGGGAAATTAGGAAGCTATTTCAGGGCCACATTCCAAGTCCCCTGAACCCCCACCCCAGCAGATGGCCACTCACTCCACCTTGCAGCAAGGGGAGCCCTGTTGGTTTTTCCAGAACCATCTCAGTTTCATGGCATGAGGCTCCAGAGGACATTGCTCAGCCAACTTAACATTCTCATAATCTCATCAGGGCCACGGTTGATGACAAAGACCCAGGTAAGGGTCACTGTCAGTGCCCTGGTGCTCAAAGCTTCGTTCGTGCTTCTAAGAGCAACCAGCGGAACCTAAAACAAGAGAAAATGCCATCGTGGCTAGTGAGCTAACAATTATAACATCAGCAAGTATTACTGAGCACATATTAAGTGTCATGTACTCTACCGAGCCCTTTCAGTAAAGTCACGTTAGGTCATCCAGAAAAGGCGCTTTCTGGTGAAACAGAACAAGACACAGAGCTCTGGGGGTGCCAACTCAGGACAGACTTGAAGCCTTGGGGAAGGGGGAGGTTAGTGGGGACCAGGTGGCGCTTGGATGTGCTTAAAGAAAGACGGGGTGCTCCAGCCTTCTAGGACCCATCTTCCCAGCCAGCGGTGACATGCCTCCCTCCCTCAGGCCTTCCCCTCCTGAGGAGGGCTGACCAGAGAACGCTGTTTAACGTTTGGAAGGGTTAAATATTGTTTTGTCGGGGGTTTTTTTTAATGTGTTTTCTTTTCCTTTTTTTTCATAGGCTGCTGGGCAATAGATGTGAGACCACATCTATAGTGTTTAAGAATTTATAACATCCATTTAGAAAGTGTTAATTCCAGAAGCATCTCAACTTGTCATGTCTTTGGGGGCCAAGGAGAAACGTAGGCAAACAAAAGTGAAACGACTTACACAGAGTCATGCCAGGGGACACAGACAATAGCATGGCAAAGGCCTGGGGTGGGCATGGAGGCTGGTTAGAGGAGTCAGTGGGGGATGAAGGGGACATATGTAATACTTTCAACAATAAAGATTAAAAAAAAAAAATCGTTCCAGGAACCAGGGATAGAGGCACCAGAGCCAAATGCAGTCTATTCCCATTCCTCTTCTACCAGGGGCTCCTTTTTTTTTTTTCATTCCAGCACTTCTTTTAAAGTGTATGTGTGAATATGTCGTATATCTTTGTGTTTCTTATCGCAACTGGCAGTATAGTACTTCCTAGAGCTTTCCATGTGTCTTACTTTGTCTCCTTTGTTCTTCTTTATTTCATGGATAATAATTTTAAAAATCCCATTTATCAAGTTTGTATATGCGCCAGGTGTTAATCTAAGCACGCTACCCATCACATTGTGTTTCATTGCCACGGCAGTCCCGTGAGGTTGATAACATTGTCACCCCCATTTGGTAGGTCGGCACTGCCCAGTAGAACATTCCGCGAGGATGGAAAGGTTCGTTATGTGCCGTTCATTACAGCAGCCACTGGTCACATGTGGCTATTGAGCACTTGGAATGTGGGTTGTGTGACTGAGGTTCTGAAGTTTTCATTTTATTCTGTTTAAATGAACTTAATTTAATGTACCTTATTGGAGAGCACAGCAGAGTCACCAGTGTAAGTCAGGTAGAGGGATTAAAATGTCCGCATTGTCCCCATTCTTTAGTGAAAAACTTTCCACTTCTCAACTGAGGAATGGGCTATAGGCCCAAACCACATTGTGTGCTGGGCGCTCGGAACGCAGCACCCAGCCCCACTGTGGATTCTGGCCCGTGGCCATCCCAGAATGCAGCACTGCCTGCCCAGGCAACAGCTTTCTCCTTCCCAGGGGCCAGAGTTCCTGAAAGGATCCTTCCCTCAGAATGATTCACCTTGGGACCAAAATGAGTTCTTCGATAAAGGAAAGGGTTAACAAAGTGGAGACATGAGTGTTAAGTTGTAAAAGCAACAACTAACAGAAGGTGAGAGAAAGTGAACATGCCAACAGCCAGTTGCCATGGAGCGGAAGAACTTTGATGCCAATAAAGCCGATCTTCTTGGCAAAAATAGAGGAGGAAGTGATGCTGCCACCTGGCCCAGCCTGAACTCTGGGCCGCCCTCTGAAAGAGCCTGTCTAAATGCCCGTATGCTAAGCCTGGCGCTCCCTCATGCCAGAGAAGCACACTGTCTGGGGACATGCCTGAGCGGTCTTTGAAAGGAATGCCGGAGTCACTGTCACAAATAGACCCCGTGACGTCACATTGGAAGAGACCCCTTCCGCTCAAGAGAGGGGGTTTTCTAAAACTCCAGGGAATTTTGCATTACGTGAGTTTCTGGCCTATCTAACGTCACAGGGGCTGCCCCAGACTTTGCACTGAGAAAGAGCTCTGCAGTTCAGAACTAATGTATATCCTATAGCATATAGCTAATAGGAAATATATCCATCGTCCCTATTGGTAGATGTACTCTGAGAAATTGGCTCACGTGGTCACGGAGGCGGAGAAGTCCCACCCTCTGCCATCTGCCAGCTGGATACCCAGCAAAGCCAGTGCTGTAGTTCAGTCTGTGAGGGAAGGCCTGAGAACCAGGCAGCAGATGGTGTAATTCCCGGTCCAGGGGCAGGAGAACGCCAATGTGCCAGCTCAGCAGCCAGCCAGAGAAGGGCACCTTCTCCCTTCCTCTGCCTTTTGTTTTACTTTCTCTGGATGGGGTGAGGTTTATCCACACTGGGGAGGGCATTTGCTTTCTCTGACTCACATACTGATGTCATCTGGAAACACTTTAACAGATCCACCTAGAAATGGTGTTAGCTGAGGACCCAGTCAAGTTGACACAGAAAAACAACCATGGCAGTTTTCTTCTGCACAAATGGGTGTTTCCGTGCCCTCGAAAGGCCAGACTGTCTCCCAGTATCAGGAAACACCAAAGTCAAGAAGCCCCTACCTGCTGGTGTGGTCCGTGGGGAAGAGCCGTGCACCGTGGAGGCAGGTTGCCCCATCCCAGCTGCTTCCTGTGGGCCCTGGAACAAATCTCGGCTTCTCTGCATCTGCTCACTCCGCCTGGTGGGACTCACCCGAGGAGCTGTCAATCCTGGGATCTGCCTCCCGAGTCCAAGCTGTAGGAGGTGGGACCCAGCGGTCTCCATGCCCTCAAAGTCCATGGTGATGGAGTCGTGTGTGGGGTGGATACTCTGATCCTTGCCAGTGACTGCACTGTGTTGGTGTTTCCGGCCCAGCTGGAGATAGGGGGGTTGCCCAGAGCCAGCGCCTTACCATCTTCCCAGCCATCTTTACCCATTTTCTCTGGGGGCCTTGTCCCAGGAGATCAACTGGGCAGGTGAAAACATTTCTTAGTCTACTTCCAGCTCTTTCTACCTTTGAGACTCTCTAGCACCCCTGGAAGCCCAGGGAGGGAAGGAATAGGCAGCTCAGAGGTCAGGGAACTTAGATGCTGGTTTTGTACCCAAAGGAGATTGATGTTGACTATGGGCTTTTTATTGGAAATAATTGCCATTTGATTTTATAACATTAAGATACCTTCCTGTTCTTAATTAGCTAAAATGTTTGTGTTTTTTTGTGTTTATTTTTATAACCTGGGCAAATCAGAGAAACTTGTGCATTTATCAAATGCCTTCTGGGAAGGATATAAATTGCCTCTTCTTTGGCCCATGTAAGTACTTTTTCCATTAGATATCCACCCTGGCAAATTTCTATGGAAAACCCTACTGAGGGTGGATCAGTCTTGTCATTTATGGTAGATTCGTTGGCTGAGTATTTTATTTCACGTGTTTCCCTGAGTATAATCAGCCTGGTGTGTATGTGCTTCTGGGTTTTTGTTTTGTTTTGTTTTGTTTTTTGGTGGTTTTTGTTGTTGTTGTTTGTTTGTTTGTTTGTTTGTTTTGGTGTGTGTGTGTGTGTGTGTGTGTGTGTGTGTGTGTTTGTTTTTCTCTCTCTTGGGTTGGGCCTGCAGGCTATGCTGGCTTCTTAGAATACATGGTGGCAGGATTCTTCTTCCTCCTTTTCTTTTTTTTAAACAATGAAACTGTACGTGACACTGGAATTGTCTAGTCCCTGGAAGTTTGAGACAACTCAGCAGGAGAATCACGGGTACTTACATGGTAGGGAAATGTTCTGGGGCAGTGATCGGCAAACTGTCGCTCGAGAGCCGCATCCACGGTTTGCTGCTCTGTTGACTAATGAGTTTGCCAACTACTGTTCTGGGGTCATTTAAAAATACTATTCCAAGGTTATTGATCTTTTCAGCTTATATACTAACTTGAATGATTTGGGGCAATGTTCATTTTCGTCAGAAAATCATTAGTGCTTTTAAGTGAATTAGCATAGAATCTTCATGTTTTATATTGCTAAAACCCAATTTTCACTACTTTTATTTGGGTTTCTCTACCACACTTGCCAAAGGTTAGATCTATGTAAGCCTTCTTGCCCAAAAAGAACAGTTTACTTGCACTGTTGATTTTCCTGTTTTATAAATTCATTAATTGTGCTCTTCAATCACTTCTTTCCGCCTATGTTTGCCAGGCTCTCTTTGTCTTTTTCTTTCTCACATCTGTGAGTCGACCACTTAAATCATGTTTTTATTCTATGTTGTTTAATAATGAATGGATTTGAGGCGCTGGGTTTGTCTATGAATATGGCTTTTCAAATTTTGCAAATACTGCAGATGGAGGGAATCGATATTTATTGAACTTACGCCCTGCCAGGCGCTGCGCTAAATATTTTGCTTCCTTCCTGCTGCGTAAAAGGGAAGGGCGCTTGCTTTGCCAGGCTGCTGGGAGGCAGCCCGTGGACAAAGCGCCTGGCCCTCGGGAAGGGCTCATAATGGCAGCCTGTGCCTGGATCGCTTTATCATTGGAGTCTCCCATTTTACACACGAGGAAACGGAGGCTCAGCAAAGGAAGGGAAGTTTCTCAAGGCTACCAGAGAGCAACCCAGAGCAGGATTCCACACCAACTCTCAAGCGCACACACCCCTCCCCCGCTGATCACTGGGGGGGACAGGAATAGCTGTGCTGGGGGTGGCTCAGAAAGCTGAGCCTCCACTGCGGCCTCGGCTTCCTTTCCAGTGGAAGCAGGGACAGAGAAAGTCCGTGAAGTGCCCCGAGTTGCTTTGAAATTGGAAGAGTTGTTCCCTCTGCAGAGAGCTCTACTGAGCACATTCTGCCCAACCCTGGGGGCAGCAGAGTTGGGCCTAGCACATCCATTCCAGGGCCTGGGCCCCAGTGCCCCTCTGCCATCTGAGACAGCCAGTTACTTGTGGGCAGATGGCAGGAGGAGGTGCAGTGAGTCATGGCCCCTCACAGCCAGCTGGACCTCCATGTTTGCAGACATGCACATGCTTGCTGGCCCTGTGGCGGCTCCACCAGGAATCGTGGTTTACAAAGGGCTGGCCGGTCTCACAAGGCAGAGACTTCGCACCCGCATGGCTGTTGAGCAAATGAATCTATTTCCACTTTGCAGCCCTGCTCTCTGGGGACTGATTTGTCAATGTGAAAAGAAATGATACAGGCACAGTTACCAAATTCCGCAAATGTGTGCGATGAAAATGCAGGCAGAGCTGCAGGGAGAGGATGCTGAGGATATTCGCACCCGCTCCTAGCAGGGACAAACCTACAGGCTGGTGGGGCCAGGGCAGGAACCATACCTTCAGCCCAGGATTTCCCCAAAGGGCCTGGGGAGCCCCTCAGGAACTCTCACCATCCTCATGTCTGCTGCAAATTCCCAAAATTCTCCCAGACACTGCAGCACGCCCGAATCCTCCAGCGACCCTCTTGGTAGCCAGCAGGCACTGTGCGTGTTGGAGGTTGGGGAAGAACTAGGCTCTGTGTAACAGCACCTGGGATGAGGGGCCTGGGTCTTCTAGAATCCGTCAGGGAGCTGACAAAGATCCGAGTAGCGCACGTCCTGCATCCCGAACAGCACGTGTCTACACTTGAACCTGGAGCCCAGAAGGCCTAGGCTGACTTCTAAGAGATGACATTTCACACGGAAAGCTTTATTATGTTTATAAAAGTTTCCTCTAATAAATGTATCCGATTCTTTTCTTTTCCTCATTTATAACCTCTTCATAAAACACTGCCTGTTAGGACCAGGATAGCTGAATATCTGATATGGGATTCTGAGACCTTATTTATGCTGTCTCCTCATGCAGTTGCTTAGGAGTATTTATTGCCTGTCTCACAGTTACATATACACCCTGGTGACATCTGCCTTCCTGATAACAATAAAACCTGAAGAATGAGGGGAACTTTTAAGCACCTCTATTTAAGAATTAACCTCTACCTCTACTTCTCAAAGACAAAGTGAGTGATGTCTTGGGTACCACTCTGGGACATAGAGGGATGAAAAATGCTCATGGCTTTTCTCCCTCTTTCCTAAGGATTTATTGATGGGTAAAGCGAAGCCTCATTTCATCCTGGAGGGTGCAAGCAGATTTGACATCCAGCAAGGGGAGGCAGGTAAGAACCCACTGTCTTCTCTTCCCGCCGTGGACCAGGGCAGCTGCACAAAGTCAGCCTCTGGCTAGGAAGGTGTGGAGGCCCTCAGAACTCTGTCCCAGGTGCTGAGGCCAGCCCCCAGTGCTACTGTAGATGGACAGCTCATGTCCAGTCTGCAGCCTGCAAGTCAGCTTAGTAATGGGTGTGCAGAGCTATTGCAGTGAGACATTATCAAATAAAGGGGGGAAAAATGGACACAGGGTTTGGTCTGAGCACTGGGTAGATAGAAGCATCCGGAAGATGGGAAGGAGAGAGAGAATGAGAAAGGGGAAGCAAGTGTTCATTGAGCTTTTGCAATGCTCTGCTAGATACTGTGCATGAGCTGTTTCCTTTATGCCCCGTAACATCCCCACTCTATATGTATATGCAAACCCAAAGGGTCCAAGAGGTAAAACCATGTCCTTCATGTCACATAATCAATAAGTGACAAAGTTGGGTTTGAATCCAGGGCTGTTTGACTCCCTCCCACCCACCAGACAGCCATGGATCAAAGTTGTTGCTAACAGCTGAGCAGTCTGGACAGGGGAGAGGAGGGCTTGCCTTGGACGGGATCAAGAATGACTGAGAAAAACCCCTGAGTCAGAAACACAGGAGTGGAGGGGTGGACAGGCTGGGAGAGGAAAGTGGGCAGGGAATTAGGAGACAGCACAATCAGACTCTTGTAAGAACAGACTCTATATCCTTAAAACACCCGCCTGCAAGTTATGCCTGCACCTTGACTTGCCCTGATGGAATCACGGTGTCTTGGGCTAAGTGGATAGAAGCCTGTGTGTCAGTGTTGGGAAGACCCCCAGCAGCCATAACCTTCCTATTAGAGCTTCCCCTATGTGGAGATGGGACCTCTCTAAGGCCATTTCTGTGTCTGACACAAAATGGCACTCAAATAATTGGTTGTGTTGAAGATAAAGGAGGGAAGATTCAGGAGAAGGAGGTGATGCTCATGCTCAATGGGTTCACCATGGCATCCAAGGAGAAACTCAAGGCCACATTGCCCTCAAGGGGGAAGAGGAGAGAGCCCCTGTGTAGGCTAGAGGGGTCCTGACACAGTAGAGGCTGAGCAAGTATCAGCAAAGAAAAACACAAATCTGTTTGCTGACAACAAAAGACACTGTCACTTTAGTTCTGAGTACCTCTGGCAAAATGAGAATCAGAAGACAAGTTGGCCTACCAGTCCTGCCAAAGCCTGCCTGCTGTTCTGATGACCTCCCTCAAACCATCATCACCTCCACCATCAATCACTCCACATCAATCACCCACACCATCACCTCCCCATCAATCACCCTCACCTCTACCATCATCACCTCCACCATCACCTCCACCATCAATCACCCCACCATCACCTCCACATCAATCACCCCCACCATCACCTCCATCATTAATCATTACCACCAGCTCCTCCTCTGTCTTACTTAGAACTGGCCCTAGTGAATTCTTCCTTTAGTTCTCTCTCAGATGGAAAAAATGCATTATTGAGAAGGACAAATGTGGACTCTGGTTACAAAAACATGCAAAATGCATGGGGTGGGGCTTCCAATAGGCCTCTCATACTTGGCATGTGTCCCCTCACAGGAGACTGCTGGTTCCTGGCAGCACTGGGCTCCTTGACACAGAACCCACAGCATCTGCAGAAGATCCTGATGAACCAAAGCTTTTCCCGCCGGTATGCAGGGATTTTCCGTTTCTGGGTACGTGCACCGCTGGGATGCTCCTGCATGGTTTTCTCTGAGTTTGGGGAGTGACTGTCTTGAATAATCTCTTGTCTGACACCCTGAGATGTGGAAGGGGCACTAACTTATGTGTTAGTCACACTGCATAGCGCCAAGAAAGGGTGTGAGCTCATGACCTGACAACGCCTGGGAATGATAAGAGTAAAAATGTTCTCATGTAAATTACTTTATTTTTGTATTATTTATCCATTTACTTTTGAGAGCACATTTATTAAAGCTGAGGACAGTGAAACCGGAAGGGCTTAAGATAGAAGGAGCAACAGGAGAGAGCTTAGGCGGGGCTGCTTTGGCTCACTGAGAAATCAGAGAAAAGGGGCCTTGGGGACAAGTTCAGGGGATTAATCCAGGATGAGCTGCCACTGCCTGTTGCTCCCCTGGCGGTACGTCTCCTGGGGTCCCTTAGAGTTTAGTAGATGTGTGCGTGTGGGGGAAAAGAGGAAGGGAGAGGCATGGGTATGCTCTTGAGAGGGTGGGTGAATGCTCATGTAAGTTTTTTGTAAAAGGCAGATGCAATCGGCAAAAGAAAAAAAAGAGTCTTTGATCAAGCACCCCGTACATCATCAAGCTTTTGTCTATGTCTAGTTCTGTGCCATACCTGGTTATTTTTATTACAGTAGCTTTTGAGTAAGTTGTAACATCTGGTAGGATGATTTTACCTTCATTATTCATTATTCTTTTCTCAGAAGTATCTTCCTAATTCTTGCACATTTATTCTTCAATGAGAACTTTAAAATCATTGTGTCTAATTAAAAAGAAAAGCCATTGTGAGGCGAAGTGGAGCGGCATTAAATTTATGTATTAATTTGGGAAAATTACACTTTTATTATGTTAATGATTCTTTCCAGAAACACGGTCTATCTTTCCATTTATTCAGAACTAGTTTTATGCCCTTCAATAAAATGTTATGGTTATGTTTTCATATTGGTGCTATACCCTTCGTGGTAAATGTAGTCTCTTATATTTTACAGTTTGTAGCTCATATGAATGAGATTTTCCCCCTCATTTCTAGCTTCTAGATGTTGCTGAAAAGAGAAAAGCCACTTTTTATTAGATATTAAATTCCATCCAACCAATTGACCACATTCCTTTATTTGTTCTAACTTTTTCTTTAGTAGAGTCTGGACTTTTTAGGTATCTAATATTATCTGCAAATAAAGATGATTTTGTTTCTTCTTTTACTATTTATAGAACTTACTTGCTTTTGTGCCTTGTCTCTTTCAGTTAGTACCTGACAATTTTGAATAAGAGTGACAAGAGCATGCCGAGACCGGTTTAGCTCAATGGATAGAGCGTCAGCTTGGGGACTGAAGGGACCCGGGTTCGATTCCGGTCAAGGGCATGTACCTTGGTTGCGGGCATATCCCCGGTGGGGGGTGTGCAGGAGGCAACTGATCGATGACTCTCTCTCATCGATGTTTCTGGCTCTCTATCTCTCTCCCTTCCTCTCTGTACAAAATCAATAAAATATATTTTTAATAAAAAAAAAAAAAAAAAAAAAAAAGAGTGACAAGAGCAAAACTCTGCCTTCTCTGGATTTTAGTTATATAGTTTCCTGGTCCTCCATTCTTTAAATACACTGTTGGATTTAATTTGTTAAAAATTTGATTAGAATTATTGCATCTATGCAATATGTAGAATTGGAGGCTAGTTATTTTTTAATGTTTGAGTTATACTAACTTTTTAAAGTAAACCCATTGAGCTTTGGATAGAAGAAGTTCACTTACATACTTTGATCTGATATAATTTGGAAAATGGTGTTACTTATTGGTTATCTTTTCTTTGAAAGTAAAATATATAACAGATGCAGATGATTGAGGCTTTGATTTATATAATTACTTTTAGTTATTTTCATTAATTCCCATTTATTTTCTCTTGGTTAATTTTATTGTGGTTTTTTTTTTAATGTTCTGAATCTTCAAATTTAATATTCTTAGGGTTTTTTATCATAAAAACTTTGAGATTAGAAAATTTCCTCTGAGGTCTTATTTCTATCTATAGGTTTCAATATAAAATATCTTACTTTTATTAAATTTAAGATAATACATTTTTAATTTTAAATACATTTTAAGGGAGGTCATCTTTTGGTTGTAGAGTTTTAGATTTATTAAATTACGGTAAAAATATAAACCATAAATCTCTACGTTTGGGGAAATTATTAAAATTTTATTTATGGTCAAGCCCATCACATTTTTGTAAATGCTTCATTTACAGTTTATATAATGTACAATCATCTCTCTTATCTGGGCTTATTTTTTGTCTGTGTGATTTGTCAAATTCTAAAAGAGGTGATGAAGTTCCCCAAAGTTAGAGTTTGGAGAGTTCCTCCTATGCTTTCAGATATTCTGGCTTTATATTCTTCCTGCTATATTCATTAGTGCCCAAAGATTCTTATTATCTGGTTGGTGAAATAAAGCTTACAAATATATTCCTCTTTGTCACATGTAATGCTTTTGGCCTTCAGTTCCTCTTTATCTGATATTTATTTTGCTGTTCTTCGAAAGTAAGTTGGGAAAATGGGGTAAGGGTGACTTGAAAGTAAATTGGGAAATCAGAGGAGCTTTTTCAAGCCAGGACTCGCTCATTCTGCTGTGCTCCAGCCACCATCTTAGGTCCTGAATGGAAAGGCTATTGAAAAACAGTTTCTATAATACTTTCAAAATTGTGATCTCACTTTCAGTCTCATCTGATCCCAATTACAACCCCAGGAGGCAGTTCTTACTCTTACCCCCATTTGACAAATGAGGATCCTGAGACACAGAAAACTAAGTGTCTTACCCAATGTCTGTTGCTCAGGTAACTAAAGACAACACCAGGACTCAAGCACAGTTCTACTGACTGTAGACTGTCTGCTCTTCTTGGCTTTCCCTTAAATCCAAATCCAGACTGGGCTATCCTTCCAGGACCCTCTTCTAAAGGCTGGGATTCGCTTTCCTTGGTGCTTCAGCCACATTTCACGATCTCCTTCTAGTAACATCCCTGCTGGCTCTTGACCTCACGCACTGATGCATCTTCATTGCAATAGGGTCATGAATCCGCAATGGTGCCGAAACTGGTGCAGTGCCCGGTTCATTAGTGACCATGAAAACATCTTTGATTTGTCTCCACCAACACCTCCATCTTGGTCTCCATTTTTGCTTTGCAAGTGTGTCCTCGGCTAATACAAAGGCCTGACATTTGGGACATCCAGCTGTGGAAAAGGCCCTGGGGCTGGCTTCCTGTCATTGCCGAGTAGATGACAGATCGCATCCACCCAGGTTATGTTCAGCCCACCTGTCGCAGACTTGCCTGCATCAAGGCTCAGGCCTGAAGCCGGAAGCCCTGCTGCTTAGCCAGCACTGGAGAGACCAGAGAAGAAACTTCAAAGGGCCGGCTTTGTTAAGGATTTTCCTCATTTGCTGATGTCCTGGGTGAACCATTAAGAGTTGAATGCCGGGGATTGAAGCAGTCTGTTTTAGAGAGGAACATCTGCTTCATTTGTGCTCTTAGCAGCAGCAGTGCCAGCCGGTGTCATTTCTGCTGCTGTGATGGCAGGGCCAGAGCGAGGCTGTAACGCTCAGTCCTCCTGTGCACTGCTCATCCTGCAGTCCCCGGGCCTTCGCCCACGCTCTCCCTGCCATCTGGGATGCCTTTCCCGCCTCTTCTCCACCTGCCCAGCCCTGCCTCCTCCCCCAAGTCTTCAGCTCTCCTTCCCCATGACAGCATCTGTATCTGACACTCAGCATCTGCTTCCTCCACTGCCCTTCTGTGCCCAGCTGACTGGGAAAGTCTTCTGCTTGGAGCTCACAAAGGACTTGCCAGGATGAGGCCAGACTTAGGAGCAAAGTCAAGCTAGAACCTAAGTCTCCTTTCCCTCTGCTGCATCCTCCTTGACTAACTTGGTCTGTGACTCATTTTCTCCAGCGGAGATGACATCCCCTGTCCATCAACGTGGGCTGAGATTTGCTCTGGGGGGTCATGTAGTGACGGTGGTTATCTTCTGACACAGGTTGTGCGTCCAGGAGCTCCCTTACCCCAAGGCTATTGAGCCGTATGTCCATCTCTCTTCCAGTTCTGGCAGTGTGGCCAGTGGGCAGAAGTGGTGGTTGATGATCGCCTGCCTGTCCTGAACAGGAAGTACCTCTTTGTGCATCCTCTCAACAACCAAGAGTTTTGGCCATGCCTGCTGGAGAAAGCCTATGCCAAGTAAGGATGGGCTTGCCCCTGAGCCCAGGGCCTCAACGTTGCCCCGCCTGTGCAGCTGCTAGGCCTGGCGGGGGCTTCCCACCAGCCAGCCCGAAACTGTCGGCAGATTTGCTGAATGCGAGCGATGCCCCTGGGAGCACCAGAGCCTTTGCCATCTAGCTGGGCATACTCCATAAGCATTCACTGTGTGCAAGGCTGTGTTGGGCCCTTGGAAGGGACCCAGAAGCACCCAGCAAGGGGTGGGCAGGGCAGGGCTGGACAGAGATATGCACTGGTGATGGTATCATTGCAAGGGCTGGTAGAGAGCCCAAATAAAAGAACATATCACGGTCATAGTCTGCTGAGAGGACAAGGGAGAGAGAAAACAATTCTGACTTTCAGACTCACAGAGTCAGTCTGAGGCTACACAGAGGAAATGGCATGGAGTGATGGGTAGGATTTCAGCAGGGGAAGAAGTAAGTATGTGGGGGAGGCATCCCAACAGCAGGGGTGATTCCAACAGAGAAGTAGGGAAGGGAAAGTTCAAAGTGAGGTCGGGTCGGTGGGGGTCTGCTGTGGCTGCTGTGGGATTGCATTTATGGGGGAGGGCGGGGGAGACGTTGTTCAGTGTTATATGGTCCAAACACCATGATGCAGGGCTGTCTCCTGGTGTTGACAAGCTCGGGGACTTACAAACACCCCAGTCACCTTTTGCTTAGATTCTTCTGGGCTACTTATATTCAATAGAAATTCACTGAGCATTTAACCACAGGCCAGGCTCTGTGCTTGGCACTGGGTTATAAAATCTCAGACTGGTTCACATAGGTGTGTGCAAAAGTGCCTGTGTGTGTAAGAAGTTACTTTCTAAAGAACCACACAGGCGAGGGACACATCAGAGCTAGAAATCAACAGTAGGAGACGAAAGCCAGAGGACCACGCCTTTCAGGAGAAAATGGGCAGTGGCGAGTGTTGCCTCATCGGGTTTTCTAAAGGTCATCCTAACCCTAACCGGCCCCTCATGCCCAGGCTCTGAATGGTGAAGTGACCCGGGTGTAAGTAATTGGCCTCAATCTACTGAGGTCCTCGGTCATGTGACAGAAGATGTTATTTAGCAAGACCGAAGACCAGGTCCAATCCTATTTGGGGTCCTGAGGGGTGGTGACAGTGCAGACTATTCGGCCCCTGTCCTTCTGGGGGTCACAAGCTGAATAGTAAGACATCCTGAGACCTCTTTTTTTGCCTTCTTCCTTTTGAGCCAACTTGTCAAAAGGGAAAGCAGTTGCTCTCTCCAGTGTCAAGAAGAGCTGTTGGTTAGGATTGGAGAGCGAAGCCCAATTTCCAGTCTGGGTTATTGAACCAATTCATGTGCTTGGGGCGGTTCATTCATAAACACTGCCATTATCTTTCCAGTATGGAGTCAAGCATCACCCTTCAGGGCCTTGTTTCTCCTCATGTCAAGGGGGGGGGCGGGGCGGGGAAGAGCTGGCAGCTCACAGGGAGAATCAAAAAGCCTGTGGAATGGAATGATGACTCTGACGCCATTTTGTTAACAGCTGACCTAAGGCGGTCATTCAGCTTGAAAGGAAATAGGCAGCTGGACCCTGAATCCACATTCCATTCCCTAAAGAAATCTAGCCAAGGATAAATCCTTTGGGATGTGAGCAGCCAGGCTCAGAGAGGTGAAATGACTTGCCCAAGGTCACAGGGAGCTTGAGGCCACACTGGACGGAGATGGCACATGCTTTTCCATCATCCCTTCATGCTGTCAGCCCTATGGGAAAGGATTTCTCTCTTTTGCTTCTTTGGTACTCAGTGGCTGGCACATGGGGACCATAGCACGGACACACTGAAGCTCTCTGTCCAAAGGAAATGGCTCTCTCTCCCTCCAAGAGTGTAGGCACTGACAAGTGAATATGTGGCCTCCAAACTTCCGACTCTCCTGTGGTTTCGAGTCCGGAAATGCACTGGTCAAGGCAGCCAAAGGGGGAAGGAATCTATGTTTGCAGATCCCCCCCCCCCAACCCCTGAGGTCATAAAACAGAGAGGAGATCAGGGGCAAGATCAGGTAGGCTGCATGCCATCCCATCTAGAATCTCCACAGTTAAGAATTACAGAATTTCAGCCTCCTTTCTGGCTCTGACTTGGGCATCTGAATTCTTCCCTCTTTCTTATGGTTTCTGGAAAGATAGACATGTCCCCGAAATGAGGCTGAAGCAAACGGATGAGAACAAGGCTCTCTCAGAATTCCCGGTTCGGGTGACGAGGCGCAGTGACAGGTGTGGTGAGCACAGTGCTCGCTGTCTCTCCTTCCCTTTCTCTCTCCTGTCAGCAAAGGGGGCTAAGAATAGCTGCCATGTTCCTGACGCATCAGCAGGATCAGCAAGCCTGTGCTTGTGAAGCAGAGAGGCAGCGCCTTGTCAGAACCCCCAGCTGCCACTGGGACGGGCTGTGGGCCCTGCAGAGAGCCAGTGAGAGGCTGTGAAAGCACGGAAGGAGGCTGCTGGGCGCGGGTCCTGTGCTGGCATCGGGGGTCTCTCTGGTGACTGCAGAACGGTGGGGATGCAGGACATCAGCCAAAGCCTCAGACCCTGAGGATGCGGGCCTGAGGAGACAGGGCAGAGCCTGGGAGCTGCTTTCCTGGGGTGACCTGGGTGCAGCTCTCCTGGAAGCTGGGGGTTGAGGGAGGGCCGTTGCGGGCCGGAGGTCACACTGCTGGGCTCAGAAATGGGCCTCTGAACTTGCAGTGCCCTCAGCAAAGCCCTCCCCATCTAAGATCAGGAGCCAGGATACTTGTGGGAAACCAAGAGAGGCAGACATTCACACCCCACCGGGCAGTCCTGATTCAAGGCAAACTGTGCTGTTGACCAAGCAAACACCTCAGAGATATGAGTCTTGTACCAGGCATAACCCTGAGTCCGAGGGCGGAGGAGAAAGATAAGATTTAGAACCAGTTTGATGACAAGTTGAGGTCAGTCACGCGGTTGTGCCTGTGGAATGGCTGTTTAGTTCTGTGTATCCTTTCTCTTGTTACTAAGACACTTTTCCTAAGCCACCGCGGCATTTTTTGCCTGGAATGGTGTCCCACTTACAGAGGCTGCGTGGTCCGTATTTGCTGAAGTGAACTTACGTGAATTCTGGGTAATGCTCCAGAGAAGAGAAGGACAGAGGTGGAAATAGGGTAAGAAAGGAGTGTCTGAGGGGCCCCCAGACCTGATCCAGCCAACCTCACCGTTTCCAGGTGAAAGGCTGAGGTCGGGAGGGAAAGGTCTTGTTCAAGGTCACAGGCCCATTAGAGGCAGCCGCAGGGATGGGCCAAGGCCTTGATCCCCGTGTGACTCGCATTGCCAGGAGGGAGGCTGTGATAGGAATGTCGCTGCCACTGACCCGTGAAGGGCTTAGTGTCTGCACCCCCCTCACCTGCTATCTCCCTGGTGCTGCTGGGTGATAAGTCTGAGAATGGGGATGGGAACCCGGCCAAGGTGTGCACAGTGTGAGAACAGAGGCTGCCTTGGCCACAGCAGGCATGGGGGGGGGGGGGGGGGGCGGGGCCATGAGCTCTCTGAGGGCAGGAATGGGGTCCCGTTCATCTTTGAATGCTCAACACCTAGCATGACGCCCCACATGCAGTAAGCGCCTTACCAGTATCATTAAAATTGACAGGAAACAGTGGGTACTCATCATAATCATATCCAGTGTTTATTAAGGGCTTGCCATGAGCCAGGCCCTAAGTCCTAGCCCCATGAGGTTAAGTAACTTGTCCAAGGTCAAGCAGCTAAATACAAGGTGAGGTTGGGATCTGACCCCTGGCCTGCAGGTCCAGGCCCTGCACTCCTGACCTCTACACAACACTGCCACTTGCAGGGCTGTTCAAGCCCTGGGAGACCAAGGAAAGGATGTGACTATGGGTGGCAGGTGCCTAGAGGCTCCATCCAGGTGAATGGGAGGTGGGTGACCGTGGTCTGGAGATGGACAGGCAGTCCATCGCCTGCAAAGCATGCAGAGGTCAGGTGCGCAGCCTCCCTTCCTGAGGGTCTCACTGACGGCACCACAGGGTTTGGTTCTGACTTTCTCTCCCAGGTTCCGCGGATCCTATCAGCACCTGCACTACGGCTACCTCCCCGATGCCCTGGTCGACCTCACGGGAGGGGTGGTCACCAGCATCGACCTGCACTCCTCCCCTTCTGACCTAGTGACGATGGTAAAGATAGCTGCCAACGCAGGCTCCCTGATGACCTGTGCCACACCGGCTGGGGTGAGTAGCCCAGGAATCCTTTGTGTGGGCCTGGGCTCTCCTCACCTGGAGTGTGCAGCCACTGGCTCATTCAGCTAGGGAGGGAGCCCTCAAAGCCACGCCCTGCAGCACAGTAGGTCATGCTGTGCTTTACCGAGGTCATGTCCTTCGATGCTCAAGACGGCCCTCCTCTGAGAGAGGGATTGAAGGATTCGCTGACAGAGGAGGAAATGGGCTCAGAGAAGCCAAGGAAAATGCTCCCCGTCACACAGCCAGCAGGTGGCCAAGCAGGTTGTTGCTCTCTGACCTCAAAGCCTTTGCCCATTACTTCCCCGTGACCAGGAGCAATGGGTCCAGAGTGAACGTCTGTGGGGGGGGCCTTTGATTCTCCTTGTTTCTTTATGAAGGCAGCTTCCCAAAGGCAGCATGGCCCAGTTTGAAAAGTCTGAATGAGCCTCCAAATTAGTAGTCTGCTCTGAGATGGTCAGCTTCCTACTCACAGGGTGAGGATGCCTCCTTCACTCTTGAAACATGTGGGCTTTGAGCCACCCAAAACTAAGATGCTCTTCAAACCCCAATAACTTCTGGGACGGGTTCCCTGCCATCTCATGGATGGCGAGTGACTGGGGGAGCAAGCACCTGCTTGGACCGCCCCCCCCCCCCAACTTCTCAGGCTCTATCAGTCATACAGTGGGTGATCTCTTGGGGTATGAAATGCCTGGGACCTCAACCACCCAGCAGCCTTCAAACCCCGCCTCTAGAGAAGAGTCCCAGGAATGCACGCCCTCCAGCCGTGGCCCAGGGCCCATGAACTGTGCTGTTCTCTCTCTTGGGAGAACCTGTGAAAGTCTAAGGCATGGTCTGCTTTTCTCCCATGAAGCCAACAGGGAAGGCCACGAGAATGGAGAATGGGCTGGTGAGCCAGCATGCCTACACCGTGACTGGGGCCGAGCAGGTAAGGCTCCATGGGCTGGGCCCCATGGTCTTGCTCCTTGGAACAAGGTGTCAGAACCACAGGCCTCAGCAGGCCCAGCAAAGCTGAAGCGAGTGTTTATCACCCTTACCTGCGGTGGCGCCCATCACGAACAGCTGGGTCCTTCTATTTGTCCAGAAGTTCTGGTGCCCAGGACCCTCATCCCCCAGGGATCCTGCTCTCCTGAGGGCTCTCAGGCAGGATGAGGGGCTGCCTGGACAGGGGATTATCCCTAAGGAAAGCAAACTGAACTAGCCAGTTGACTCTAGGGGAAGTTTTGCCCTGAAGAGTTTTAGTTGTAGCATACCAACTAAACCACTGTAGCAGACGTTCCAAAATACAGGGCTCAGACAGGCAAAGTTTGTTTTACTCTCAAGTAAGCAGGTAGTCTGAGAGCTAGTAGGTGGCTCTGCCGTCCACAGCATTGGACTTCCCCCTGTGAGTCCTGGGCAGCTGCCCCAGACCCCCTCCTCGTCCAGCCAGGGGAAGAGAAGGAGGCCAGGGGAAAGGGATGCATCCTTTTGGAAAGGCACACTCTCAGATTCCATTAATCTGAACATGTGGCCACACTGAGGCGCAGGGAGTCTGGGAAACATACTGTCTAGCTGGACCACCACATGCCCGGCTGGAACTTTATTCCCATGGAAGAGGGCAGGGTGGCCACGGAGGACAGTCTTTCCCTTGATACAAAACTGACTGGGTGCACAAAGACATATGCAATTCCTGTGTGCAGCATCATCTGGTCAAGAAGATACTACTAACGTCCAGCTTCCTCCGTTCAAAAGTAAAGAAGCGGAGGCCTGTGCAGGGACGGTCTCTCACAAGGTCACACAGCTACTTACAGTGGCTGGGTCAACACCACAGCTCCTCAGTTCCCATCTTTGTTTATCATACAGCCATGTGGCGACAGCGGTTCCTGGCCTGGTGATGACTTCCCACAAACGTTCCCCATCTCGGTACTTCCCACAAACCTCGAGATGTAATACTGTCTTCCAGGCCCTACCAGATAGCATGCCAAACTCCAGGGAGCATTTTTCATGGGCACTTATGGGCCAAGGAAAGCAGGGTTCTGGGGTCCGTTTCTAGCCTGCTTTCTCCTGCTGGCCTGCCCTCTCTGTGTCAATCTATCTCTCCTGTCCGTTGACCTAAGGCCCCTTGGTCCATTGTTTCATGTTTTGGTGAGTGTTCCAACCCACAAAACAAGAACAAAATCTTATGTCTCCCTAAAGAAATCAGAAACAACTCCTTCCTCTGCACAGTACCTGGGAGACAGGAGGCACCTGAAATGCTAGTTGGGTCAATGGATGGATGCCCTCGTAGGAGTGAGTGAATGCATTCGTCCTTGGCCTATGAAGGGGGCATTCTTGATCTTTCATCAGAGATCATATGTGATGAGCTCAACACACATTTCCCAGAAGTAAGGAAGTGGTTGTCCTGATACACCCGTCCCAGTGGCTCCAGACTCCCTTCCTCTGAATTCCCCCAAGCATTTCCCTGAATTCGCGGTAGGGACAGCCAATACCATGTCCAGGCACCACTCCCCACACGTCCCCTGACCCAGATGTGGACAAGTCTGGGCTAGAGACAGCAAATCAGTTTCCTAATGAGTCAAACTTGATCATTGGCCACGCTGCCTGGATTGCTGTATGGACAAGACTTTGGCACTGCTTCCAGATCTGGGGAAAGAGCTGTGATTGGTGATGGTACCTGTGCTGGGCATGGAATGAAAGAACCATGGTGCCTGCATGAGGCATCTGCCATTCCTGGGCCCAGCCCTTGTTATTCATAGAGACGGCCTCTGTTCCTTCTCTGAACACAGGTGAGAAGGGACTTGTGTGTTGAGAGGTCCAGATGGCCATGGGTGTGAGGCCACACAGAGGCTGGGCATGGTGAAGGCAGGACCATCGGGTTATAGAGCGATATATATATATATATATATATATATATATATATACACACATACACACACACACACACACACACACACACACACACACACACACACCCCAAGGGCCGAGGGAAGGGAGGTGAACTCAGGACTCGGGCTGTGGGGCTTTGGGCTCCGGATGATTCCTTTACCTATGTGAGCGTAAGCTCCCCCACAGCACACACATTGAGTTGTTCCTGAGTGGATCAGGCCACCTCCCCTCTGAAGGGGGTGATGAAGACTCCGTGTCCTGTCAGCACTGTCCGACCCCTCTGTGGCTGCTGACACTCCCCAGCCTGTGCTGTAAGGAGCACCAGCCTGGTGAGAGCCTCTGGGGAGCTCACCGGATGCCCTGCTTGGAGATTCGCGATGGACATGAACATGTTAAAGGCTCTGAGAAGGTCTGTATTAACCAGACAGGTACAGCTTAATGTTAATCAACCATGAAACCCCTTTTCTAGGAATAAGCATTAACAGCCTATGGGACTACCATTTGAGGGGATATGTCTAAGGAAATACTGTCCTCGGATAGAGAACCTGGATTAGCTCTCGTCTTGAATGGACTCCTGAGCCACACGGCCACAGGCCATGTGACCACCAGGAGGGCACTGACAGAGAAGTAGTGGCAGAGTCGGACATGGAGCCAGGGACTTGCCTCAGTGGAGATTTCTCCTCCAGAAAGAGAAGGCTATAAATCTCTGCGAGGGTGAAGATTAAACCAGCCCATAAATGCTGTGTGCTTTTTAATCTGCTCATCCTCCCTCTGGGCGGGACACGGACAGGAAGATAAATGAAATTGGCATTTTTTATTATGTACCTAGCCTGGTCCATGACTCCCGTGGGCAAGGGGTGAGTGTTTATCTGCATGCCTCATTTAGCCCTCTCCCAGCCCCCTGCAGTCCCTGGCCACTCTCCTCTCCTGGGCACAGCGGAGCCTTGACTGTCTGGTAGGCACTGAGGGTGGCTCAGTAAGCTCTTTGGGCCATGGGGCACTCATTACTCATTCCTTCTTTGTGGGCGCCACCAGGTGCTGGCAGTCAGGAGGTCGTGTGCAAAGCCTGGGGTGCTCCAGGGTAGGGCAGAGAGGGACAGGGAACCTGGGTTTGAGCAAGGAGCCCCCTAACCCCCATCCCACGAGGCATTTAAAGTTGGAACGCCTTCCACTGCAATGCCAGCCAAAGACAGAAACAGCCAAGGAAAAGCCACAGAACAGAGCATTACCCAAGCTGGGATCTTGGACCCTCATCTCACTGCACTGCTCCTTCATGGCAATGCTTTACTGGTGATCCCGTGGGCCTCGACCAGGTGCTTGGGTTATATGCGGGGTCATGTTCACAGCCACATCAAAGAGTGGGCTGGGCACTGGAGCGGCTGTTCCTTTATTCTGCCCCCTCCCCCCCTCCCCACTCCGCACCTCCCCCCCCCCCCCCCCCCCCCCAGTTCCAAAATTAAGAGCTTGGGCTTTGGAGAGTGGCTATGGCTAGGGTCAGAATTCTGCCTCTGCCACTTTCTCTGTGGCCTTGGGAAAGTTGCTTAACCTCTCTGATGCTCAGTCCCCTCCTCTACAATATAGCGATTGTGTAAAAACCTACCTCAGAGGATTGGAAGATGTCTCTCCCATTCGGCACTCCACCCAAGCCTGGTTCCAAGCACACGGGTTCTTTCCCATGCGACGATACTCAGCTCAGCCTCCTCTGACCTGGAGTCATTGAACAAGTCCGCCCCCTCCCTCACCCCCAGGCCTCTGTCTCCGTAGACAGCATTAGCACAGATCAATAGCCCAGCTACAGCTCGATCACGCTTTAATTTTTCTCGCCAGGCAGAGCGCTGCTGGATCCTTGACTATAGGTCCAAGGGTCGCCATTATTTCATTGTAATTTTTCAATAGTCCTGCCCTCTGGCCTCAAGTGTCTAAAAAAGCAAATGTACCAACTCCCTTTCTGGGAGTGAGTGATACCGAGGTCCCCGGGGAAGGAAAGGCCAAGCCCTGGAGGCTCCCTGCTCCGGAACAGAGATGGGGAGTGGGGGGATAAGGGTGGGATGAGGTGGGCTAGCCCCTGACATCTTCACTTCCAAGTGGTCCCAGTCTTGCTCAAATCCTCCTGCTTACCCAGGACAGTGCTATGAGACCCAGCACCGCTCCGAGTGGGTGCCTGGCAGGGAAGCAGCCGGGTCTGGGGTAGCGATGCCCACTGCGGATCACTCGAGACCCACAGTCCTCCCCTCTGCAGCTGGAGGCTATTTGTCCGCTGTCCCATCAGCTCACCCTAGGAACGATGGGGTAGGCCCTGCTCTGCAGGGTGCTGAGCAGAAGGGGCCATGTTCTCTGCCTCAATCTAGCTCCATGCAGGCGGCAGGCATTGATTTTTTTTTTTCCTTTCCATTTTTTTTTTCTTCCTGGCTGCAGCCAAATGAGGTCAGAAGTTAAATTAGTCCTTGGGGGTAGAAAGCAGCTGCATTCACATCCCCTCTTTCCGCTGACTTCGGCTGGAAGCCTCTGACTGTCCTTTTCTCTTCTTGCAGGTTCAGCACCGGCGGGGCTGGGAGGACCTCCTCCGCCTGTGGAACCCCTGGGGCCAGGCCGAATGGCGAGGCCGCTGGAGCGATGGGTACGGCTTCTGGAAACCTCTCTATCTGTCCCGAGCCCCCTGTTCAGAGGCTCCTGCCCAGTGGAGTCTGTCTCTCCTTCTGTGGATCTCACCGCAGGCTTTTCCAGTTCACACCTGTCTGACTGTGGGTCCGTCTCACACTCCCATGAGCCCATGCCAGCTTAGACGTTTAGATTTACACCCTCTGAAGGCTGTAAATGTGTCCACCGCAGGGACCGACTCTGTAGGCTCTGCAGGGTCAGGTGTTTGGGCTGAACTGTGAGGTTCGCCATTTCCCACCAGAAACCAGGCTGGAAGGAAGCGACAGGACCGCACTCGCACTGTCTCCAGGCAGGTGATCCAGTTCCTCTCTCCTCCTCAAAGAATGGAGGCGGAAGGAGAGAGCCGAATGGTCTAATCCCGGCCACAATTGAAATTTCAGTTGCACACACTTGAAGGCAAACTTGCATGAATCAATAGCGTATTGATTTACACTACATTTATTTTCCCTTACACACCACAGGAAATGTAATTATCGCTTAATTATAAAATTGCCATGTTACAATAGCACATCTGACTGGCTCAGCCTGCAGCCAGGGCCTGAGGGGTGGTGCCTGCCTGGCTCTCCCAGCACAGAGGTGACACAGCCCCCCTCGGCCCTCGAGGAAAGCCACTGGCAGAGAAAGATCTCATTACCTGCCTGTGCCTCTGGGCATGCCTCCCCATTGAGGAGACCTCCCCCTTCTGCCCAGGAGGGTCTCCTCCTTCACCCCAGGTCCTAGGACTAGCTTCGGGAACACAGTACCCCATGAAGGGGATAATTTTAATTATTAAGCAAGCAAACAATTAGTGCATGCCTACTGTGTGCCAAGGCATGTGTTAAGCCCTCTGTTGGTAGCATTACCGTGGTGAGCAAGGCTCACTGAGCGCATGGATCTTGGAGGCTAGTGAGGGGACAGCCAATCAAGCCTCTTTGGAAAAGACCATGATACTGGGAAAAATAGAAGGTGGCAGGAAAAGAGAAAGACCGAATGTGAGAGGAAATGGCTCCATAAAGGAAACCCTAGGCAGGAGCTTACAGGAGCTGAGAGGGCCGATGAGGACGTCACTCATCAGGTGGCTGGGAGTCAGAGCTGACTCAAAGGCAAGTAGCACACAGACAGTAACAAATAGCACAGGGTACCCTGTGCTGAGACAGGAGTGGGACAGGACACTATGGATCTCAAATGGGAGTGGGGGGCACTTGGAGTGGCAGGAGGGGATAAGCAAAGCTTTCAGCAGAAGTGACTTTTAGGAAAGAAAAGTGAAGTTCCTGGGTTACAGGACCAAAGGGAGAAAGACTATTACAGGCAGAGGGAGCATCATGGTGAAGGCCAAGGGCAGGAGGGAGGACACCAGGATTCTAAGAAAGTGAAGACATTCATACTTGCTGGAGTGTAGCATTTGCGGGTGGGTGTAGGGAAACAGGGAGTGCTCAGGTCAAGCCGGAGAGGTAGGCACAGGCCAAGGTGCTGTCTCAGGAGTTTGACCTTCATCCTGGTGGTGAAAGGGAACCGCTGATGTGTTCTAAGTGGGGGAAGGCCATACTCAGATTTCCGGTTTAGAAAAATCATTTTGAGGTCAGTGTGGAGAATGGATGGGAAAGTGGGCAGGGCTGAGCCCAGGGAGACCAGTTAGAAGCGGAAGAGGGAGATGGGGGTCTAGGGAAACAGCCACGGGGGATGGGAACATGTGGGTGGGTTTAGGAGGAGTTTGGAAGCTGGAATCAAGAAGTCATTATTATGGGTGATTGGATGTTCTTGGTTGGGCACCAGGAAGAGGCAGAGGGGAGTCCAGTGGGGGACGAGTTGATTTTGAGGTCACTGTGGGGCTCTGGTGGAGACATGGGATGGACCCTGGCATGTATCCACCCAAAGCTCAGGAAAGAGGGTCGGGCTGGTGACAGCCTGGAAGCCCTCGGCACAAAGAGGATGACTGATCCTGTCACGAGGTAGAATGACACCCTCCACTTGTACCCAGACAGCGGCGGAGGACTGGGCCACGGGCCCCTGCTGGGCCACGTGTGGCTGGGATGAAACGCCCATGGGAGGACTCACCCTATGGTTCTCTGTCCACACCCAGGTCTCCGGAGTGGGAGGAAACCCGGGACCCACGGAAAAGCCTGCTGTATGACAACAAGGAGGATGGCGAGTTTTGGTATTTAGTCTTCTTTTAAAATTGCATTTTAAATCTTTAAACAGTTGCCCACACCCTCAAGCATTCCCCTTCCCCTGAAGTTTTGTGAGACTAGAGATTGGCTTTGCAGAGACCTGTGTAGAGGGAGCCTTTTTTCTCAACCGAGACAGACGCTTTGAAGGGGCAATTCCTGGTGTGTTCTCGCTTTGGGTGACAGACGCTTCATCTCTAAAATGTTGGAACTTCCAGGAAATGTTAAGGGTAAAAGGAATATTGGCACTGGAGCTTGGAAACCAAGTTTCCTGGAAGCTGGGGTGCATGGTCTTCATGCCTGTATTTCCTGTGCTTCTTAATAAATGTGTTTTTACTAGGGGGGGAGATCCCCTCAGCCTGGCTTGCTCCCTCTTGCAATCGGGGAGCCCTCGGGGGATGTCCAGCTGAAGGCTTATGTCTGCTCCCCCCTCACCCTTCCCCCTGGGGAGCAGACCTAAGCCGGCAGCCAGACATCCTGAGCGCTGCTGCAGAGGCTGTGAGCCCGGCTTCTGGCTGAGCGGCTCTACTCCTAAGGGAGAGCACTGACCACCAAGGGGCAGTTCCTGTGTTGAGCACCTGCCCCCTGGTGGTCAGTGTGTGTCATGGCAACCAGTTGTTCCACCGTTTGTTCTATTTGCATATTAGCCCTTTATTAAATGGGATTGATTTCAGAGAGAAAGAGAGAGGGAGTGAGATATAGAAACATCAGTGAGGAGAGAGAATCATTGATCTGCTGCCTCCTGCATGCCCCCCTACTGGGGATCAAGCCTACAATCCTGGTATGTGCCCTGTCTGAGAATCAAACCGGTGACCTCTTGATTTCTGGGTTCATGCTCAACTGCTGAGCCACACACCCCCACCCCACTGGGCTCTCCTGTGCTTTTTGTTGGGGCCTGCATGAATTCCAAAAGAGTTAGCTCAGCTTATCACCCAGCCGAGGCTCTAGAGCTCACAGTCAGACACCGGTGTCTCCGCCCAGTGGCTATTGCAAGACTAGATGTTGTGAAAACACATTTCTGGCCGTATGCTCTCATGTTAAAGGATAAGAGGGACATTTCTCTGAAGGGCTGTCTGGTTTACTTAGTGACACTTAAAATAAGAGTTAGCATATGGGGAAAGGAGGCTGGGTCTAAGTAATTAAGAACCAGGGAGATGAATGTAAATTAGAAGGAAAAATATTCCCAGTATCTCCACTTTAATCACAGCATGAGGTGAGATGTTCAGTATTGAATTCATTTCATTCTGATAATAACAACCTCGACAATGAAATTGGCAAAGGGCCCCAGGGGAGGGCGATTTCCTCACAGCTCAGAGGACTCCTGGCAGAGGGTCTGGCCGCCGTCCCGCTGGCCAGGAGCAACTTGGAAGTTTGATCTCTGGGTCTAGGAGATGGCAGTCAGTGATCAAGCCTTTGCCAGGTGACATGCAAAACCCAGGATTTCCCTCTGCCCTTGTCCTCCCAGCCACGAGAGGGAGTGGAAGGGTACTTGACCTCAGGTGACGCAGAGTGAGAAGGAGGCTCTGATCTTGGGTTGGGGAGTGATAAGTCAGCGAATGCTGAAGCTGACAAGCAAAGGTACAGGCAAGTGAGGGGAACCCCCACCCTGGGGACAAAACCAGTGCTCATTAGGTGACGTGTGTCTACTTTTAACAGGATGTCGTGTCGAGATTTCCAAGAGAACTTCTCCTGCCTGTTTATATGTAACCAGTTTCCAGTCAACCTGGACCTGGGACACACGTCCTATGAAAGATGGTCCCAAATGACGTTTAAGAACCGCATGACTCCGGAGGACACCACAGGTAGTAGTGATCCTGGCAGACGGGATGCCGCCAGCCCTGGCCCCATCCTGGTTTCAGGTCTCAATGGCTCTTGTTCTGACCCATCAGCCTGAAGTTGGACAGAGAGGAATTTGTCAGCCTAAAGGGACAGCAGTACTTCTCCCAGGGAAATGGGTGCTGGTGGGGTGGGCAGGGGGATCTCAAATGTGTCTCCCTGACCTTCCACTCTCCTACCATCTCCCAGGAGCAGAATAGATCCATTTCCAGGACGGTGGGGGGAGGGGGGGAGGGGGCTGGGTTGAGCTCTGTCCTTGCCACGTACTGGCTTTGTGACTCTGGGAATGTTGCTGGTCTCTGTCCTCCACCGCCCCTCCTGTGGACAGTGGGATTGGTAATTCCTGTGTGGTCCTAGACACCACAAGCATCACTCAGACGTAAGGGCAAACATTCCTGCCCCAGTCGGTGTGTCCTGCCTCAGGGCGCTGATGCCAGAGGAAGCCCTCAGAGCCTGCCTCCGGGCTCCTGAGATAAATCATGTTGGCTGTGACCCTGGGAGCGTCACCTACTCTCACTGTACCTCCCACTCCCCACGCGTGGTTGAGTGGAGGGTGACCCTGAGTGTGCTTACATAGCCTGCATAGGAAAGGCTGTGAAACAATGTGTGTGTATGAGTGTGCATGTGTGCTGAGTGTGTGTGTGTGTATATGAGTGTGTGTATGTGTGTGTGTGTGTGTGTGTGTGTATTGAGTGTGTGTATGAGTGGACATGTGTGTATGAATATGTGTATACGTGCGTGAGTATATGAGTGTGTGTGTGTGTGTGTGTGTGAGTGTGTGAGGGTGTGTGTACACCTAGACATGTGCATTCCTTCTCCTTAGCACTTCCTGTCTTGAATGGTTTCCTAAATGACCCTCCCTCCACAAAGTGTCCCTCTTTCAACCTCCAGGCTCTTCACTCTGCTGGTCTCATCTCTATAGTTTAAAAAATGTTTTCACCAAGTGGTGAATGTCTTCCTCCTCCTTGTTTTTAAAAGGAGACTGAGGCTCACAAAATAAAGAAACTGTTTTCACAGCTAGTAACTTTGGACACTGGGGCCCACACCCGAGGTTCTAACCATGCCCAGGGCTCTCTGAACTCGATGTGTCTCCCCCAGAGTCCCAGGGGCCAGGAGCTGAGCTGAACCCCAGCCCCAGCTCTTTATCTTGCAGAAGGACTTCAGAGGGACACACAGTACATCTTCTCTGTGCCGGAGAGCGTGGGAGGCAGCAATGTCGTTGTGTCTTTCAACATCACGCCACAACATATAAAGGCAGAAGATGAGAAATTTCCACTAAACTTTCAGGTGTTCAAGGTAAGGCCGCGTGCTTCAGGGTTTGTCCTTTTGGGACATTCGTGTCCACCTGGGGGAAGTGGGGAGGAGGGGGTGTGAGAATAGCCAATCAGGCTAGAAGATGTCACTAAACCACAGCCTCGGAGATACACCCCAAAGGGGCTATGGAGTTCATCAGGTCCAGCTCTGAACTTGCAGGAACACCTGGCACAGAGAGGAGATTAGACTTAGACTTGACCAGGTTTACAATGGGACACACCCACCCACGCCAGCATTTCCTGGTGTGCCGCGGCTCTCATGCTTGTTGCTGAAACCGTGGTCCAGATCTGTCTTACCTCCAGGCCCTATCAATGTCTCGCTTTTCCTCCCAACTTTGTCATTATTGCTGACAAGTGATGAATAACCACATCTGGCTGAGCTGACAAAGGGCAAGCCTCCTCCTCTCAGTTCCCTTCTCCCCTCCTTCATGTCCTTCCCCCTCCTGCTCCCCACAGTGGGTTCGCTTTCCTTTTCCACAGCTCCCCTCTGGCAGTATGCTGCGGTCCCCACTCATCCCTGGGTGTGCCAGGCACCCCGCGGACCACACAGAGAGACGGAATGCAGGGCCCTGAGCTGGGCTGCTGGGATCTGCTTGCCCTTGGGAATTGAACTGGGTTTCTGAATCTGCCTTTCTTCTTCTTCCCCACAGGTCGACCCTCAGGTATGGCTCACCACCGCCCTCACTGGGCTTCTCACGCCTCTGTTGTTGACTGTCAGTCAAGTGTTACAGACTGACACCCATGGACCAAGAGCCCTCCCAGGCCCCCACAGTCACACTTCTTGCTGCCATTGAGCAAGTCGGTTCTGCAGGATCAGGAGTCTGGACAGGGCAACAAGGGTCCAGTGGAGGGAGGAGGGCAGGAGAGCAGGGAAGCAGGGAAAACCTTATCTTCTACATTGCAGGGGACATGATATTCAAGTGTGGGTATATGTGTGCATGTACACACACAGGACAGTGCTGGCTCTGCAGAAGAACTAAGCTCATCATTGCTTTTGCCAGAAGGGCACAAGCAAGTCAGGCTCCCAACCTGCTGAGGCTACTGGGCATGTCAACAGCATCACTTTGGAGATTCCATCCAAAACCCTGGTGCATTCCTGGGACAGCCGCCTGTCTCCCATCTCATCTTGTAGCACAGCCCTGTTTCCACCCCCTGAAAAGTAAAGAAAACAAAACAAACAAAGAAAAAAACCCTTCTCCCTGTTTTTCCCCAAGGCGGAGCTCACAAATAATCATGTCAGGCAGCGTAACCATTCTAAATGGAATGCCCATGCTCGAATGTACTGGGGAAAATTTATTTAGTAAGGGGTTTTTATTGTGTAATATGTATGTGACATCTGGTAATGGGAACTGCATTATATTTATTGTTTTATCTCTAAGAAAATATTGAAATAAAAGGAAAATGATCAGGGCCTATTATTCTCCAATGAAAAGACATTTCAGGGCTCCGCTAGGAAGAGGAAATGGAGGAAGTGCAGGGAGCCCCACTGTAGCTATCCAGAGAGAGTGTCACAGAAGGTACAGAGCAGAGGGGTCTGAGGGCTCCCGGAGGAACCCAGTGTTAAAAGAGTCTCACTGGTTCCCATGAAATTCTTCAGAGAGGTAAACCCAGAATCCAAGATGCTGTTAGATTCAATGAGATAAAACCACTTGCCATTTTTCTTTGCATTCATTATAGTGTTAACATCTACTCTGAGTGGCCAGATTATAATGATCTCTGAACGCATGATAATCTGGCCACTCAGTGTAGACTGACCACAGAGTTGGGATTTTAAAATAAGGTTTTTCCATGTAGAAGAACTGCATTGTGGGTAGTTAGCAAAAAGCAGAGGACTAACTAGCCAGAGGCTGGGGGCCACTATCTCCTGGTCCCTTGACATATCAAGATTTGCAAGCTTTCCCCTATACATAAGTACACTGAGTGGCCAGGTTATTATGCGTTCAGAGATTATAATAATCTGGCCTCTCAGTGTATATTAAATAATGGTTTAAACTCTCTTGCATTTTGTGGGTTTGGCCAAGCACCGTATCTCTTGGTTAGTGGAGAGGCGTCTGGAAGGTGGAGGGTCTCCCTGGTGGCTGATATGCAAACCCACCAGGGCTTTCTCACCATCCCCGTGTTTCCTCTAGTTTCAGCACTTCCAGGAGAGACTGCCATCCACCTTTTTCTCCCGATTCAGAAGCGCTGACAAGGGCATTGTGACTAAAACCAAATACAACCTCACAAAGTGCTTCACGCTGCGCCCAGGGACCTATGTGGCAGTTGCGTCCGCGCACAGAGAAGCAGTTGAGTTCTTGCTTCGAATCTTCCTGAAAATGCCAGACCCTGACCGGTAAGAACCTCTGGGGTTCCAACTGCAAATTCTACTTAATGCCATTAAAACCCATTGTGGAGGGTCTTCAATGCCATGACAATGGTCCAGATGGGTCAGCAAGTGTGCACCCTGCTGGGCAGCTCACCCTTTCCTGGACCCAAGGCAGACGTCCCCGCAATCATGGCAGTCCTCACAGTGGAGCATGGACGGCGCCTTCTCAGTCCAGGATGCCAGGCAGCCACTTGGCTACCAGTCGGAGTTGCAACTTGAGGTGAAGCTTATCTGCCATCCTGGCAATGAGGGTTACTATCCATGTGTATCTTGCTAAAGGAACCTCTTCCTACATGGTTAAGGACCAGGTGACCCAAAAGACTAGACATATGGTCATGATGGTCTTTGTCTACCAACTGTCAGAGCTGCCCACTTCACAGCCTGCTGTGCCTAGAACACTCCACTCAGTCCTTGGTGGCAATGCCCCTTTGAACAGTGAGCAGGCATCCTAGTCACACTGTCCCCCTGATTTTCTAGGAACCTGGGCAGCGGTTTCAACCTCAGAGCACTGCAGGTAGGTGTGCAGGAAGGTGGCTGGTAGGTCTCATCGGCCACATTTCATCTCCAAAAGCTTCTTTCTTCTTCCTTCTTGCCTCACCACTGATCAATGAAAACAGACATTATAATGGGATGACGATGGCGCCAAGGGGCAGGGCAGAAAGGAGAAGGCCAGGCCTCCAAGACCAGGCTGGACCCAACCATCTTCTTTCCACCAACTTCCATTTTCCCATTCCCCTAGAGCTGTGGTTGGCAAACTGCGGCTCACGAGCCACATGTGGCTCTTTGGCTCCTTGAGTGTGGTTCTTCCACAAAATACCATGGCCTGGGCAAGTCTATTTTGAAGAAGTGGCATTAGAAGAAGTTTAAGTTTAAAAATTTGGCTCTCCAAAGAAATTCCAATTGTTGTTCCGTTGATAATTAGCTCTGTTGACTAATGAGTTTGCCAACCACTGCTCTAAAGGTTTCACCCAATTACTAGATGAAACCTCTGTCCCAGATTTAGGTGGGGGATTCTTGTGCCAGACAGGTGCCTTTCTTTTCCAAAAATTTGATGTGGGCTATTTTCCCTTTGATCCAGGCAAGTCTTCCAGAAAATGGCTCCCAACAAAGCATTTTCTACAAATACGCCCAGCAGGTATAGTACTCAGCATGGGGACAGGAGATGGAGGGACCAAAGGGAAGGAAATCTGTCCCAGGCTTTTATCAGGATACAGAGAGGAAAAGTAACTTTCTGGGTTATTTCATCAGCCTCCTTCTCTGGCCATCTCCACAACTGACCTGGCTACCAAACTCTGGAGAGAAATGATGTCCCGCCTGGGTGACATCTGGGATGGCATGTAGAGCTTTTTAAATCTGTAAACAAGCAGTTGGCAGCATCCCTTGAAATCTTTCCTTCTCCTGCTCTGCCAGCTCCCACTAACCTTGGCATCATTCCTCCCGGGAGATAGCCAGCTGCAGAAATCACCAACAGAACTCTTCCTGCCAAGCAAGCCACCTATGTACACAGGGGATTTTCTTAATGGTTTTATAAACCATTATAAAGAACTCCTTGACTTGTCAGGATAAAAACAGCTGCCAAGGGCTCTACATGATGGGCTTTTTATCATTAATAATCATGTTGGGTGGAAAGTGATACAGATGATCATGTGCATGGTGCCAGCCCTGGGCCAGGCAGAGGCCAAGGACAGGATGGAAGCCAGACATTCAGGCTGCTGGGGCAGTGATGGTCAGGAGGCAGCCCAAAGGGAAATGATTCAGGAGCCTATGCTCAGAGGAAAACTCAAGAAGTAAAAAATGTGGCTGGCATGTAGGGTACAGGTTACAAAGAGCAGCCCAGTATGGACCTCCTTGAAATTAATATGGGCCCAGGATTTAGATCCATATCTGGGCTGATTCAAAAGGCTCTTGACCTAATACAGTCTGTGAGGTCCTGAAGGCAGGGATAGAATCATATGCATTCCTTGTCCCCAAGACCTATCACTGCCTTTGGCACAGAGAAGATAGGGGCTCAATCAATTTGCATTGAATTAAGAGAGATTAGCTTCCCCTAGAGCAGATGCCCAAGCTAAGGTCACTGCCCCAAGGTGGTCAGCAGGACTAGGTACCTGAGACCAAACTCACCTTCATGGGTGAGTGGCAAATCCTCAACATGGATTATGCACCTACGCATCTGAAATAAAAGTGATAAATTGTGAGATGATAAATGATACGGATTCCCTAATTAGGACTTTTCTAAACAACAACCAAATGTCTCTCAGGAAGGGAGACCTGCAAGAGGGAGATAGGATGCATGTGTCAAAGCTGCTCACCTTCTCGTTTGGTTGGAGTTCCTCACCAACATGTCAACTGCTCTGCAAAGCAAGATACCATGTTTCCTTTGAGGAAAAAACTTGGTTGATGCGGGGAGGGGGCACACCAAAAGGACTTTCCTGAGCCATGAGACGTTGGAGGAATGACCTAAGGGCCAATTTCAGACACTGGCAGAATTTCTGGGGGCATCATGAGTGGTCATCCTTCTAGCTAAAATACAGGCTGCAGGATTGTTCTTGCTTTTAGTTCAGTGTGATGAGGCCAACCGTGGGGACAGCGTGTCATCTATGGGGTGCTGGTTCTCAGAAGACCCTAAGGAGGCACCTTCTCCCACCTGACTTGGCCCCACTCTGCAAAGCCACCTGCTGGAGGCCTCATTCCAACTCCTTCCCCATGTCAACTCTTTGCCAGGGTGTTAAGGTCCCATCAGCCCCACAGCTTTGACCAGACTGATGTAAGAAATGGCCACATGTAGAGCAGCTCTTCTCTGTAAAATCATCATGGAAGACACTGCCCAAACAGCCATTCAGTGTCCCTAATAGAAAACTGAATTCCGTTAACGCCTCCAGAAGTTCATTCCAGGAATGTTTCTCTCCCCTTAACCTCAATTGCTTCCCCCTTTCTGCGTCAGTGTCTGGGAAGACTAGCATTAAGTAATGGGTTCAATTAGAGCAGCTTCTCGTAGCTTAGGTTCCCAGCATTTTAATCTCCTCTCACTCCCCACACTCAATCCCACACATGTGCATTCAATAGTTATATTTTCTTAGTCTCTTTCTGGAAGCAGATGGGGAAACATACCTATGGGGCTGAATTGATTCCTTCAGCAATACTTCTCCTGAAGGACTCCCAAGTGCAAAGCATGGTGGGGAGGAAGCAAACACTGCTTTCAATCTAATAATGAGTGAAGAGATAAACGCAAGGTACCCACACAAGGTATCAACCGTCAGGAGTAATCAGCACCACAGGGGTTCCAGGGAGGGAGTTATTACCGTGGCCCGGAGCCATCCGGAGGGCTTCCTGACAAGGGTGAGCTGGGCACTGGGTGGGAACTGTGGCTAGCAATCTGAGTGCTTTGCAGAGCCGGGCAGATGTGAGCCTCAGCTCCTGGGCACCCGATAATTCCTCCCTTGTTTGGACCAGGGACTAGGCATTGATGCCGCCCAGCTTCAGAGACTTCTCAACCAGGAATTCCTGAAAGGTAAGGACCTGCCATTCCCACCATCACCCCCATTGCCCAGACAGCCCAATGTCACCCTCCCTGACCCTTCAGTCCCTCCTGTTCTGCCCCCTCAGGACCTCCAGCAGACACCTTCTCTTTGGATGAGTGCCGGAGCATCGTGGCGCTGATGGATGTATCCTTTGCAGTCATCTTCCATCTGCTCTGTGGGCCTCCCAAGGAGTCTAATGAGGGTGCTACAGAACCCTTTCTCTCAGAATTTTCTCTGCTTCTTGGTTCTGAGAGCTCACCAAAGGACCTGGGTTTCTGTGGATTCTAGTCTAACCTTCTAACTCTCCAAAATACTGGAAACTGTAGTGCCCTAGCTAGTTTGGCTCAGTGGATAGAGTGTCAGCTTGCGGACTGAAGGGTCCCAGGTTCAATTCTAGTCAAGGGCACATGCCAGGGTTGCGGGCTCAGTCCCCGGTAGCGGGTGTGCAGGAGGCAGCCGATCAATGAGTCTCATCATTGATGTTTCTATCTCTCTCTCCCTCTCCCTTGTCTCTGAAATCAATACAAATATATATTTTTTTAAATAGCTGCAGCAACAATGACGATAGTTACCATCTATCAAGCAGCTACAGAAGCACTGAAACTAGTGGAGAAATCCTCAGCCTATACAGCAGTTGGACCCCAGTGGCAGATGGGAGATAGGGTCGGCCATCCAGTGACTTGTTCAGTTTCCATAGTCATGTGGCAGAGCAGGGCATCAAACCCAGGTCTTCTGCCTCCCATTCTGGCTTCTTTCTCTGATGAGCCATGTGGGCCTATTCCCTGGCAGACAGGAAAGACTAGCTTCCTGTGTGCATAGCCCCCAGCACGGTCCCTTCAGGGTGGGCGATCTCCTGGGAAGAAGACAGACGTTGCTCTTTCACTCCTAACAGGACTTGATTGGGAATTAGGAAGTCGTCACTGTCAAACAAGAGGGCTTCTTGATGAAATCATAAATCAGGCCCTGGATCTGCCAGCAGACGAATCAAAAAAGCTATAGCAGTCCCCCAGCCTGGGGGCAGGTAGCCCTCACCTCCCCTGCAAAGCAGGCAGGTCTTTTCTACCCTCCCTCCTTCTCACACTCCAGGCCCTCCGAGATCCATTCTTTTCTTCTCATCAGCTCTCAAGGGACCCATCGTATGGAATGGCTAGGGCTAGCTTTAATGCGTCCATTCGCATGCACACCTGACCCACATTCACCTCTCATGCTATTTCGGGAGTTGCCATGACCCCCTTAAGCTCCTCCCCACTCAACTGGTGAAGGCTATGGTTGGGGCTGTCTGGATGCAAGAGATGTTGGCCTCCCCTTTCTCGGGGCTTTCTTTTCCTTCCGACTCTCCATCTCCCCTGGGCACGTCAATCCAAGCCAGGTCCCTTCCAGGCGCAGCAGGAGCCAGCTGGCAGGAGGCCCTGTCCCATCCATGTCACGAGTTGAAGGATGGAGGGCTTGTTGGTGGGACCTGCGGCCCCTCCGCTCAGTGCGTTAACAGTGGACTGGTTAACTCTTAACTCCCGGCAGCTGAAAGTGAACGGGCAGCTGGACCAGGAGGAGTTCTCCAGGCTGTGGAGCCGACTCGTCTGCTGCCAGGTACCGGCATGTTTGCTTTTAGCGAACACTCTTGCTCCATTCTGTGTAGCAGATATTAATGGGCACTTTCTCCTGCACCTGGGTTGAGGGGTGCAAAGAAAAGGAGCCTCACCAGGCCTCAAGGAGAACTCCCATTGTGTTTGGGGAGACGTACGGACGAAGTGGCAGGGTGAGGAATGCTCTTGGAGGGTGGAGGAGAAAGGAGTCGCCATGGAGTGTAGCTAAACCACCAGCTAGCCTTGCCCCACATCCATCACCCTGCTCACGGCCACACCCCCAGGCTGCCAGTTCACCTCCTCCCCTGCACCCTCATGAGCTGGAAGGTACATCAAAACCAAAACGTGTGTGGCCACCCCAGTGCTCAGGACAAACTCTAACCTCCTCGGAGCTGTGCACGAGACCCTCTGAGTTACGGCCCTCCTTTAGGGTCCAGGAGAGGCCCTTCCACTCCCCCATGCACCCCAACTAGGAGACTGCTTGCTCTTCCTCCCTACACTCCCAGCCTGGCCAGCACCCACCCAACCTGGGAGACCAGTTCATACACACCATCCCTGTGGGGCCTTCCCGGGGGGTATTGCCCACCCCCAAGGCCCTATGAGTTCTCCCCTCAGCTCCTAACACTTGAACTTGCAGCAGGAAACTATGGCTGTCCCAGGTTATCACCTGATCCCTGACTTGGGTCATTTAGGGGTTCCCACAGGCACTACAGTGGCTGATATGCCCCCCATTAGATTGTGGGGTCCTCTAGGGCTGGGGCTCCCTCATAGCCATCTTCTTTCCCCACTGCCTTCCTTAGTGTCTAGCACACAGTAAGTGCTCAAAGTGCTAAACAAATGACCAAACTATGAATTACTGAGTGAGTGAGGGAATGAATACCTCTCTGAGAACACTCTACACTTGGTGGATATACTCACCAACAAAGCCAGGTAAGGCCAGAAAGGGTGTGTAAGCTGCTATCTCACACTGACTGTCTCTTGACGTCAGCCTCAGACATACCAGCGGGAGTCCCACGGCCTGCATGCGTAGCCCAAAGCGGTCTCTCCCCTGCCTGGGCATGCTTCCTCACCTCCGGAGTACAAGGACAAGCAGGGTTAGTGTGCAAATCGGGGAGAGGCAGGGCTGTGCTGGGAGAGGGAGAGCCCCCTGTAGAGGTTGAGGCGTTGGGGTTGCTATGGCCTGGGACTGCTTAGTTCTGGACACAGGGAGCCCCAGCCCTGGAGGACCCCACAATCTAATGGGTAGGGGGGGCCATATCAGCCACTGCAGTGCCTGTGAGAACCCTCACTATGCACAGAGCACTCTCCGGGCACTTTATAGGTGTCTGCGCAGTTACTCCGTTGGGCCTGTGCTGCAGATGGGGAGGCAGCCTGGGAAGATCCAGTAACCTGCCCAAGGCACAGCCGGGCCGTAAGCCAGTCTGTGCGCTTCACCACCCTGTGCAGACTCCTTCCCGAGCTCTCCAGCTGCCCTGAAGGCATCGAGCTGCCTGAGTGTCAGGAGCCCAGTGCAGGGTGAGGGAGAGGAGAGAGCAGGATGGGAGAGCGGGTTGGGGAAGAAGAGAAGCCCCCACCCCCGCAGTGGGAGGTCAGAGTGGGCTGCCTCCTCGTCTCCCGCTGGGTGCCCTGCCTGCCTCTGAGCTGAGCCTCCAGGGAGGGAAAAGGGGTTTGCTTGAGGCACCTCCTTCTGCCAGGACGTCCTCTGCACCATGGACACTGGGACTCACCCAGGCTCCTGGCTTCTTTTCGGTGTCAGAGCGTTTTCCAGAACGCCCAGAGGAATGCAGGCGTTTTCCTGAGCTCGGATTTGTGGGGGGCCATAAAGGATACAGGTAAGGCAGGGGACCCTTTGATGATGGAGGGTGGCAGCGTGTGGGGAGTGGGGCGGGGGGAACACCCCTCATGGGCTGCAGCAAGGCTGGTGCAGCGGAGCAGGCAGTCCTGTGGCTCCTCCTCCCCTGGTTTACACCGGCCTCTGGGGCCTCCAGCTCTGGGCTCAGACTCTGCTTCCTCTGCCTGAGTTCTCAAGGGCCAGTCAGTGTTGCCGGCCGCCTTCTCCCGGCCCAGCTCTAACTGTGGGAGAGTAAGCCACATGATTGAAACCCTACCACCAAGCCGCCCTCGGGGACTCTTCATCTTGGCATCGCAGCTAAACACCCACGGGCAGGCTTCTGCGCTCGACAGAGGGTTTGGCGCTAAATGAAATCAATGGCATCTCTGCTTCAAGGAGGCAGGGCTTCCAGTCCTGGGCTAACGATGCAGCTCGGCAGGAGAGCCTCGTAGATGGGCACAGACTTGTACTCGTGCCAGCTCATTCCATGGTCTCCATGACTCTGAAACCGGGGAGGGCAGAAATTGCCGTCTCCACGGCGCCATGTGGGGACAGGCTCGCACAAAGGTTAAGTCAGGAAACCTGTGGCCCAGACTTCCTTGCAGGGATCTCCGTCAGCAGCGAGCTGCTGGATCTCATGGCCCTCAGGTACAGCGACAGCGCCGGCAAGGTCAGCCTCCCCAGCCTGGTCTGCTTCCTGATGCGGCTGGAAGCCATGGCAAGTAAGTGTCCCCTGGGGACCTGCTGGAGACCTTCACAGTGACGGGAAGCACAGGAGAGGACCAGGGGTGCACTCCTGCCCTGGCATGGGCAGTGGGTGGCCTGGAGTCCTGCCCCAGAAGCTGTTGCCCCAAGAGACAGAGCCAACGCTAGCCTGCGTAGTGGTGTCATCGGCTTGTGTCCCCAGCCACCCTTCTGCACCGTTTTCTCCCCAGGAGATTCCCTTATCCCGGGGCTCTCATCTCCTCATCACCCAGTTTACTCCGTGCTTCTTCTAGGGTCATGCTGAATACTGGGTCCCTCTCCAGATTGTGTTTATAGTTTAAGCCTGCTCTGTAGTCATGCGGCGAATGACTTGGTCTCTGCAGGAGGAATTGCACACGCCAGCAAATAGCTGGGGGCAGGAGGTCTTTCCCCAGGACTCAGAAACCCAGCTATGTAGGCCGGAGGTTTGACACTTTTTAGCAGCATACCTCTTTGCTGTAAATGAAATCTTATGTGAAAGCCCAAGCTACAAAAATAGCTCAAAATGGTCCTGCTGAGGTTGAGGTAGCAGTGGCATCTGGCCTCGGCTCTAATCCTTACACCGCCCTGCCTCATGGCATCACTGTAAACCCTGCTCCTCTGAGCTATACGATTCATGTTAAGATGGTGAGAACAGCCCTAGCCAATTTGCCTCAGTGGTTAGAGTGTAGGCCCATGGACTGAAGGGTTCCGGGTTTGATTTCAGGCACCTTGGGCTTTCAAGGCACGAACCTCAGTTACAGGCTCAATCTCCAGCCCCAGTTGGCGTGCGTGCAGGAGGCAACCAATTGATGTGTCTCTCTCACATTGATGGTTCTCCCTCTCTGTCTCTACCCCTGCCTTCCACTCCCTCTAAAAGTCCTCCAGTGAGGATCATCCAAAAAAATAAAAAGATGGTGAGAACAGAGCCCTGGGAGGGTAAACAAAAAGCCTGAGGCATAAACCTGTTCCAGAGAGTTGTCAGTCGGATAAGGGAGGTTCCCCAAATGATGCCCCTGAAATACTTCCAAAGAAAGGCCCACACTGCCCCACGGCCAAGTGCGGAGATGCATAGTGCAGGGAGACTGAGAGGGAGAGAGGCATTGGGCTGGAGCAGCCAGAACAGTTTTGAAGACTTGAGCCCGAGCTGTCCCTGGAAAGAGAAGAGAAGGAGAGGTGAAGCATCCCTGTGGAGAGGGAGAGAGTGTCTCTGGCTTCACACAGAATCGCCGCATTTGCTTTTATACGGGCCTGTCCTGATTCCTCTCCCCTCTACCCTAGAGACTTTCCACAAGCTTTCCGACGATGGAAAAGGACTCTACCTGACAGAAGTGGAGGTGAGCCGCCTTGCCCTCCCAGAGACAGGACCAGCCCAGCCCTCCTCTCCTCCCCAGATGCCAGGGGCATTTTTCTCCCTGAGGATATCGAACAGGCTGTCAGAGGCCAGCCAAGCTGCCGGCCCCCCTGCCTCCAATTACCACCTTTATATATTGCTGGCTGCCAAGGCTGCTTTAGGAGCTTGGCAGACAGATTTTATTTTTTTCCGATAGCTTAATAAAGCAGAAGATTATGTGGAAGTCATAAATCCAAGCAGGAACTGAAGCACACCTGCTGGGCTCACTGTACATTAAACTTCCTCCCATTGAGTTTTAGAAAGAGCCTCCTGGCCCGGCCAGCTGGTCGACCTCATCTACCCTCCCACTGCCTGGCAGTGCAGGGAGTAGCAGGAAATATGCTGTGACAGGGGCCAGACCTCCTGTGTGGGTTGGAATTAGCCAGAAAGGGCTGGTGAGACTAGACTGAGATTTTTCAAGGGCGGAGGGTACCATTTGCCCTGATCTGTGTTAAGCTCCTGAGTGTAAAGACTGGTTGTAATGAGAATGTTTATTTCCTAGTGGATGAACTTGGTCATGTACAACTGAAGCAAGGAGTAGAGCAGACCCCAGAGTCCAGGTAAGACATGGCAGCTTTAGAATCATTTCTTCTTGGGGCCCAATTTCCCTTCTCCTGCACACAAGACCTTCTCCCTGGAAGCAGCCTCCCAGAGGTGAAGGAGCCCTTATTTGTGTGAGCCAAGGGGGACCTGAGCTTTCAAGTGTTGCAGATTTCATCCAAGTCATGGAGACCAGTGGGCATTCATGAAAGAGAATGGCCCAAAAGTCATGAGTGAGGGATTTAGAATCTGTTTTTAAAATCAACTTACTTTTTATTGAGGTATGATTGATAGTTAACATTGTGTTAGTGTAGGTTTTTAACAATGATTTAATATAAGTACATATTGTGAAATGATCACCGTAATAAGTTTAGTTAACAACTGTCACCACTCATAGTTACAAATATTTTTGTTATGATGAGAACTTTTATGATTTACTCTCTTAGCAACTTTCAAATATACTAAATGTTGTTAACTATAGTCACCACACTGTACATTCCCAGGACTTATTTATCTTAGAACTGGAAATTTATATCTTTTGATCACATTCACCCATTTTGCTCACCCCAACTCCCACCTCTGAAAACAACCAATCTGATCTCTGTATCTATGAGTTTGGTTTTCTTTTGTGTTTGGGTGGGTTTGGGGTTTTTTTGTTTTGTTTTGTTTTTAGATTTATAAGTGAAATCATATGGTATTTTTGTCTTTCTCTGTCTGACTTACTTTATTTAGCATAATGCTCTCAGTGTCCATCTCTGTTGTTGAAAATGGCAGGACTGCCTTCTTTTTTATGGCTGAGTAATATTCCATTGTATATATACACCACATTTTCTTTATCCATTCATCCGCTGATGGACACTTGAATTGTTCCCATATCTTGGCAATTGTAAATAATGCTTCAGTGAACATGGGATACAGATATCTTTTTAAATGATTGTTTTTGTTTCCTTCAGATAAATATCCAAAAGTAGAATTGCTGGATCATATGGTAATTCTAGCTTTAATTTTGCTGGGAACCTCCATACTGTTTTCCATAGTGGCTGCAATCACTCACCAATTTACATTTCCACCAACAATGCACAAAAATTTCCTTTTCCCCACATTCTCTACAATGCTTACCTCTTGTCTTTTTTATAATAGCGATTTCAATAGGCAGGTGTGAGTTGATATCTTATTGTGGTTTTGATTGGCATTTTCCTGATGCTTAGTTATGTTGAGCAACTTTTCGTGTACCCATTGGCCAATTGTATGTTTTCTTTGGGAAAATATCTATTCAGCTTTTCTGTCCATTTTTAAATCAATTGCTGGTTTTTTTCTACTGAGTTATATGAGTTCTTTATATTTTTTTTATATTAACCCCTTATCAGATATATGACTTGCAAATATTTTCTCCTATTCAGCAGGTTTGCCTTTTAGTTTTTTGTTGATTTCTTTTGCCTGCACAGAGGCTTTTTGGTTTGATATAGTCTCTCTTATTTATTTTTTCCTTTTGTTACTTTTGCCTTTGGTGTCCAATCAAACAACTCATTGTCAAGACCAATGTCAAGAGGATTATTCCCTATATTTTCTTCTAGGAGTTTTATAGGTTAAGGTCTTATGTTCAAGTCTTTAATCTATTTTGAGTTGATTTTTGTGTATGGTATAAAATAGGGGTCTGGTTTGATTTTAGAATTCTTAGCTGAAGTTCCGATGAGGAAAGGCAATCTCTCGTCACAGCAAACATTAATGTGAGGAGCCACAGAAATGATCAGACCTCGGGGAAGTGAAAATTGGGTCCAGCTCCAGACCTACCACTGCCTCACTCTGTAGCTTTGGATGCATCACAGGCATCTGAAGGCAGCTGCATCTATTTCTCTAGCTTGAGTGCGCTGAAGAATTAACACCCATGTAACATTGTCTTCTACATTTTTACTTTTCAGAGAACTGACTTACAGATACATAGTCTACATCCCATCCTACTATAGCAGAAGCCCCTGCAGAGCTTGATAGAATACAGTAGGCCCTCGGTTGCCTCGGAGATCCGTTCCTACAGCGCGATGTAATGCGATTTTTGTAGGAACATAACCCACATAAGCACCTACGTCACTCACCTGGAGCACATACACAGCAGCAATGAAATGAAACAGTAAAATAAATAAATAAATAAATAAATAAATAAATAAATAAATAAATAAATAAAATTTTAAAAATTAAAGAAAGATAACAATTCCAGCCCTAACTGGTTTGACTCAGTGAAAGGTCCGAGGTTTGATTCTGGTCAAGGGCATGTACCTTGGTTGCAGGCACATCCCCAGTGGGAGGTGTGCAGGAGGAAGCTGATCGATGTTTCTCCCTCATCGATGTTCCTAACTCTCTATTCCTCTCTCTTCCTCTCTGTAAAAAAAAATAAAATAAAGTATATATATATATATATATATATATATATACATATATATATATATACATATATATATATATATATTTTTTTTTTTTAAGATAACAATTCCTGACCTTTACTTGTGGTAAATAAATAATAAAGCACATACCTATGTACATATATCGAAAAGAAGGAACTTTTTAAATAAATAAATGGGAGATGGTGACATAACCACAAAATAACATATGTCAAGTCCAATGTAACCCAAGACTGTCTATTTCTGAACTGGGGAGCTCAATATTTTGTGTTTCCATTGTTGGACGCCTTCGGGTGTTAGGTTTTCTTTAACTAGAGGTGACTTCCCTGGAATTTTCTATTCATGCTTCAAGCTCTACTCTCTGGACCACTAAAATAGACTTGGACATGCCAGACCTTCAAATACTTCGCTGCCTAACCCAAAGCCTCTCTTCTTTCATTGTCTCTGATGATTCTTATCTGGGACCTTTTGGTGACCATTCTCTATATGCCAATGTTCGTTTGGCTCGTAGTCTCCTAGGCAGCAGACCTGTGATTAGCACATTCTGGGGTCCTATTTGTAAACAGCATTTATTTAATCTCCCAATCATGTACCTTGAAATTAAGACACTGACATGGTCTCTCTAAAGAAAAAATATTTTAGCATAAACATTTCCTGATGAATACCTGGTGCCTCCTAATGAACACAAGCCAACAAACATTGCAGAGATTCAAGTTAATTAGACTCAACTATATTTTTCTGAATTCCCCTCTCAATCCTTTTTAAAAATAGAACACTTGATCATTTCCAATTTGCATGATTTCTAGTATCAGGAATGACTCTTCAATTGTATCTTTAAGCTAATTTTGCATGTAGAACCTAAAGCTTGAACTTTTGAAATAACTGAACTCTCATTATCCTTTCTCCATAAAAGGTCTCAATTCTCTCTGTCAGAAGGAAGTGTGACATAAGTTGCATGGTTACGTGTGTTTCAGTCTCTTTCAGTAATGCCTACCATTAGTCAAGTTGAGGAAGTTCCCCTCTATTGATAGTCCGCTGAGTCAACGCACTTTTAATTACCTGCTGGTGTCTGTGTTCCCTGCCACACTGTAAGGCTGGGCATGCCTTCTCTGTGGCTAACGTGTTAGCACACAGCAAAGTGCCTGGCATAGAGAAACCCTTCAGTAACCATTTCCCAAATGACTGGAAGGAATTCTCCCTTTTGTCCTCATCCCAACTTTGGTAAATATCGTCTTAAACCCAAGTCTTCCTGCTATTTCAGCTGTTCCTCTATCTTCTTCCCCATTTGGATTACTGCGGAATGGACAGTTAACAATATCTTGTTATAATCTCTAATACATCATGGTCAATATTCTTTCAGAATGGCTATTGTCTAACTGGTGATCTTCTTACCCCTTTAAACTCTGCTTTCCTAAGTCCAGGGCACCTTTTAACTCTGTCCAGCATTCCTTTACTTTGATGCTAGAGAGTCAAAGTTGCTTTCTTCCAGAATTTTCATCACGCCCGGGTTAGAAAAGAGATGTCCGCCGTTGGCCAGCATTCAGTCCAGAGCGTTCCCTCTCCTCCCTCATCTGGTCCTCTGTGTGATGAAGCAGCCACTGGAACATGGGAAGGCCTTGTCTGATGAGCTTCTGCCCAGAGCCTGGGGCGTTGAAGGCCCTCAACAGTCTACTTTCCTCAAGGTCACTCCCCACAAGCTGTGTCAACAAGCTTCAATCTGCCCTTGGACTCTCGGGGCAAGCTGTGGTGTCCACCATTGTGAACCCACCTCTGTCTCCCTCCTTCGGCCATCTGCTGCCTCTGCCTTGTTAAGTGAGGAGGGAGAACTGTGCATCCTGACAACGCCTGTTCCTCCCCTCCCGTCAGGTCTGTTTCTTTTCAACAAAGCGTGCGCCTCCAGGGCCTTGCGTGAGCAATGTTTATGTGAAAAATCTTCAGAGCTATCAAGTTCATACTTTTAAAAAAATGACTCAGAAAATACTCAGAGCATCTATATATGGTCTTTGGACATTTGAGATGATGTTGATTTTAATTAGTTTCCATCTAGCGGTTTACTACACTGCAAGTCACACCTGCTGATAGTTTGCCCAACTAATGTCATGTACATTCATGTGGATCTTCTGTCAATGTCGCGTCTTATTCTAACAACGTTAGTAGCTGTAACAGTTTCCCACTATGCAGAAATAAGGTGTGGGTGCAACATGCCAGCTTCTGCTACTCTGCAGGAAGGTAAAATGTGGCAGCAGTAGCCTCAACCCTGCCGAATTACCCACAACCCAGCAACGTTGTCACTGGAGTGGGTTCGCTTCTATCCTAGTAAACTAAAGTGACCAGACATCCTGCTTTTGGCGGGACAGTCCCAATTTTCAACAATTTGTCCCGCGTCCCATGGCGTTTATCGGGACTTTTGAAACGCTGCGGGACTCGAGACAAATTGTTAAAAATCGGGACTGTCCCACCAAAAGCGGGACGTCTGGTCACCTTATAGTAAACCCGTCTCTCCATCCTTCAGACCAACGAAGTGCTTTTCGAGAGTTGGGAGTCTGGACTCGTCCTTTTGGTGTGAAAACTCCCTACCTCCTTTGGCAGACCAACACCTGTGGGTGAGCAGGTATCTTTCAAACCCATGGTGTCCAGCTTCCGTAGCTGGATTTTAAAGAGAAATGTAGCCACCTCGGACAATGACACAGACCCTCCAAGGGCATGAACCAAGAAGGAGCAAGTTGGAATCCAGGAAAAAGGAGATCCAGCCATCCAAGGACCAGAGCTAGGCAGCTGAGCAAGAGAGCAAGAGGCCGGCGGGGAGCAGGACCAGGGGCCCTTGGGGGGGAGGGGGAGGAACCAGCATTTCTCTCTGACCTCGGCATCATCGTGGGGAAATGGTGTTCAGATAGATTTTAAAATTCGGCTGGAGAGCTTAGAAGAATTATTGGGATAATAACGTAGTCTAAGCGGATTTTTAAAATGAGGTCATTATTAATTCCTGGAAGAACAAAGAATTATAGAAGAAAAGTACCATGATCCCAGAGTATTTCTTCACTCAGCAGCCAACAGTACATATATAATTGTAATAAAGCAAAAATGGGATATTGATCTCACAAAAAATGTGACATAAATCTATTAGAGAATGTAGGGAGCAGAGGTGCAGGTATGTATGCAAGTGGGCGAGGAGCATTCCAGCCCCATCTTCCATCATCAGTCAATAGGCAACTCATTAATAAGCCAGGGTTAACCATGGAGCACATTATTAAGAAATATGGGGTGGGCATCAGAAGAAAGAGTTTGGAGAGAGGAATTCAGGGTAGGGATGGAACAGGGGGCTGAGTCTTTCCTTCATGCCTTATAATCCTAGCTCTGTGTTTCACTTAAGTACTGGGGCTGGATTTTTATGAAAAACAAGTAGCCAACTGTCACATAGTCTGAGACTCAAGAAGAGAGAGAGAGGAGTCTGGCTGCTTTGCCACATGGAAAAATTGTAGAAGAAATGTTTATACAGGAATGTCGTTTTAATCCAAGAAATGTAGCCATGGAGGGCAAACCCCGCAGATCAGATCGGAGCCCTTCCAGCCCATTGGTGGGGTGGAGGTTGGGGACATCTCTGCTCCCCAACTTCTCTCCATTTTGCTGCAGACACTTGGTGCTAAGTAAGTTGCGGTTTGCACTCAGACGGGCAGAGTAGGTGGGTAGGTGCCTCCAGGGATCTCTGAAGAATGAGATGCTGACATTCCCATCCACTGGGGAGCCCTGGCTACTATGGGGCTGGTCCAGCCTTATCTGCAGGTGGTACGTGTGCTCCCCCTGCTGGTGGTCCTGAGCAGTGTTCATGGGAATGGGGCTGTGTGTCTGCAGCCACTCAACAGAAAGAAAAGCTCTCCTCTCCCTGGGCTCCTGTGTTTGAGCAGCTGTGCCTTCCTCCAGGACAGACTCCCAGTGGTTGGTCAAGACCCTGCCCTCATTCCAACGGGCCGAGCTGCTCCTGGGATGGTGATGCGAATGGCATCTGCCCTCTGGCGATGCAGTCACAGCCGCCTTCCAGGAGCTGGGCTGGGTCCTCCACTGGGTCCGGCTCGGTAGCCCCGAGGTCACAGAGCAGGTCACCCGAGAGTTTGGGGACACCAGCCGGGAACCTTCTGGACAATGAAGTAAACGTTCTATTCTGTTCTGGGAAAGGCGGGGAGAAGCCGCACCTCGGTCCCCTCCCACCAGTCCACACATTTCTTAGAAAAGCCGGAATGAGCCAGTTGCCTACCCACAGGCTGCTGTGGGTGCCCCGGGATCAATCCACTGGGTGTTAGCTGAGTAATCATACGCTCCAGGGTCTGAATCCGGAGTGCTTCACAGCCAAATGGCAAAATGAAACACGGTTCCCGTAAAGGTCTCGGACTCCATGGCGGGTAGGATCTTCATTCTGGATGGAAAACACATTTGGGGAAGGAGAAACCCAGCCAGCGAGGTGGGCACCTCCCTCCCTCCGAATCCCTCACGTTGTCATCGTGTCTCTCCCTGAGATCGTGGCCCACAGAGCACAGAGCAGTTCCAGCCAGTGAGCAGGCCAGAGCCCACCCGGGAGAATCTGCGGTTAGAGAGCTCATCCTGGAAGCGTCTCCCCCGCGGGAACCCTCGCAGTTCTGTGTGTCAGGAGGGTGGGAAGGCGGGGCCTTTCTTAGTGTGACCAGACGCGCCCCCTCCCCCAGGTGGCAGTGGTGTGGGGAGAGGGAGGGAAGTGCCATTATGCAAACTCCCATGCACAAGAGCGAGGTGGCATTCCGAAGTGGACACATCCTTGTATGAGGGATGGACACGCAGCCGACTCACCCGCCTCGCACAGGGACGGTGGCACAGTGTCTTGGTCATTCCATGGTTAGCGCCATCAGACAGCGAAGCCGGCCTGGGTCACGCCCCCTCCGGCCCGGTGCTTGGTTAACCAGGACAGCTGGCCATGGTCAGCAGCGTCGTGGGCTTTGCGGGCAGTCAGAGCCCGAAGACCCGGAGTCCCAAGCTGCCAGGCTGCCTCATTACATAAGCTTTTCTACATACAAAGCGCCGGTACTGACAGGTCAGCACAGTCTCTGCTGAAAAGGGAAAGCCCGGAAGGACCAATGAGTCATTTCTGGCAGGACTCGAAGATGAGCCTCACCTACTGCCCAGGTATGTAGTCCTCCACACACCATTCCCGCACGCTCCGCAGCTCCGACCGCACACCACCCCGGCTCCTTCCGGCCTGCCTGGGCCCTGAAGACAAGGAGGGCAGAACCTACAGACCTGGGTCAGCCGTCCGCAGCCCAGGCGTCCGTGCTCTCCTTGGTGCCAGCAGGGTTGGTGTCCACCAGATGGATGCAGAGCAGGGTTCTACTGCCCAGGGCTGAGCTCAGGAGCAGGCGCTCTGGTGACTGAACAGTGGAAGCACTCTGGGCACCGATGGATAGAATGCCTAATGAATTTAGGCTTGCGGCTGCAATGCCCAGAGACCCCACCTACCCGCCCCACCCTAGCCACACATCTTCCAGATGGCTCCCGTCCAGCTCCCAGCTCCCTCCTCACCCCTCCCCTTCTTCCCAGCTCTCAAAGAACGGGTGTCCTGGTTGATTTTTACCTCCAAACAAGCTAATTAAGCAATAATCCTCGAAGAATCCATCACTCTGACAACTCGGTGATGAACCATCCCCCAGCCGAGCCAAAAGTGCTTAATATCCCAGCAGAACGGTCAATAATGAGCAGAGCAGCAGCTGCAAGCGGGTGATGGCTGTATCTGCGAAGACAGATGCAGAATGGCCGTGGGCTCTCCCTTACAGCCAGTAGAGGGCAGTGGGGAGGAAGGTGGGCTGGCTTCAGGCTGCAAAGGCTGTGAGGTCTCTCACCAGATTCTAGATCATTCTTTCTGAGAGAACATCTAAGGTTATGAACAACTCTGAACCAAGACAGAAGGGCCATATGACAGGACACAGAAGCATCCTTCTCCAACTTTAATAGCTGTGTCAACTCTATAGCTGCTGCAGTGAGAGGAGGGACCGGCTAGCTAGACGATACGATGACTGCCGTTAAGAGATCAATTTCAAGCCCAGACGTTGCATCTCTTTCTTTTCCACGTGTAGACTGTTATCTTAAACACCCCCGTTCCTTAAGATTTACTTTCTTCAGTGCTAGGAAAATAGTAGTCCCTTACACCAGGCAGGAGGTGACCAAACACTGCCCTCTGGTGGTCACAGTGGTTGCAGCTTTGAAATGTCCACCTTCCAAAGGTTCCTTCCCATTCAAGCATCCAGGTGGGCCCATAGGGAGCACTCCAGCTGCCCCGCAGAGCATGCCCCCTCAGAGCTGCCCTGGCTGGGAACTACCCCATCAGCTATCTGACTGTCTCTGCCTGAATTCTGGACTCATTTCTGCTGTTTCACATAAAGAGTGGGTGGCGTTGATTGATACTCTGCATAAAGGGGAGAGAAACTGACCCCCTGGCTGAGCCTCCCTGACTTTGTCATTGACGTGCCCTGGCAGCTTACGTTTTTGAGAGTTTCCAATTATGTTCAGCCACAAAGATAAGAAGATAGCATCTAGTCAGTGCTCTGTGGGTGTAAGGAGAATGCATGACAGCACCTATGGAGGGTGAAGATAGGGAGCATGGTGGACTGCATGGAGCCCTGGGCCTCAGGTTCAAGACCCCGCTCTGCCTCCATCGTGTGGGTTGTGGCTGGGAATGGCCTTCTCTTTCTGGGCCTCCTTCTTCACTAAAGTGGAGGAGCTGGACTTAGAGATCTCTGAGGTCCTTGCCAGGTCACACACTTGGAGATCCAGGTCCTGAGGATTTGAACACACAGTCATGATCAAGGGGCAGCATCTCGCCAGGAAAGAAGCCCCTAGCCAAGCAGCAACAAGCAGCTTTGACTGGGAACCACTCTCTGGGGACGTAAACCCCACACTGCTCTCCTCCCTCCCTCAGCCTGGGCGTTGCTGCTCCTTTTACGAGGAGGAGGCCGGTGACCGTGGGAATGCAAAGCCCCTTCACTCACCCAAGTTGGCCCTTGGCATTGACATTGCCTGGGGAAGGTGGGATCAGGCCACAGTGCAGCTGCGGAGGGTGATGAGACGGTGACACCTAGTGGCCACTTCTGTTCATCACAGCTTCTAGCACTTGCCGGTCTCCCATGCTCCCCACGGCAACGTGGGCAGCATGAACCGCCCTGTGAGGAATGCAGAGCCTTGGGTTGTAGACTCAGCCTTCCAGCTGCCTCTCTCTCTGACCTTCGTTCCTTCAAATAGGAGTTTGGCCCTTACGTCC